ACGGTCTGGTGTTATTATGCTAACCGGGGGAGCTCGGGGATGGTCTTCAATAGTACCTTCTTCAGCATCACGCTGAACCCATCGTCTTACAGTCTCCCTCTAAAAAGTACATAATGTTATAAATTCACTTTTCTTTTCCACCTTCTACGCTAGTGGGTTTTTGTTTAAGTAAATATAAAAGTAAGTAAGTAAATATGTATGTCGTAATCTCGAATCTTCATATATTATTTAGAAAGAACGGGTTCCCTTTTTGATAATTTTAAAGAAGGTTTTTAAAGCATAATTAAATACAAGTATCTACTGAAAAAAATACATTTTTTAATTTATTAATTTAGCTATCAAAGGACAATGGGCAAAACGCACCCAGCTCCGCCAACAATGTAATTAGTATGAATCGATAGATCTATGAAAAACTAGCCTTTTTTATTATGACACCGTGAAAAAATATCCTGGCAGTCAAAAGATATGACAAATGGGCATATTAAATATGTCCATGTAAAGTGAATTCACTTAAAATTTAAGTAGCTAAATAAATTCACTATATAGTGCCTTCATTTTATATTATTATTAGTAACCATAATAATATGCCATATCGTACTATACAACCAGATATAGATGACAAAGCCTACCGACCATCCTGCGCTTGCACTTACTGAACCACCTCAAAACGGTTTACGGGGGTTGAATGAATTGCAGTTGCAAATTGTCGACTCGCCTTACTCCGTTGTGATTGTGCGCTCCCGGTCACTTGATTGATTTTTATCTAACACGCTTTGGACATTGGAACACGATTATCGGTTTTGTCAGTTAGTATGGATGAACTGGAATCATGTTTTCTCCGAAGCGTGGACAAGTTTGTATGATTTGTGATCACTCCGTTTTACAAAGAAGACAATTTATTATAACGAACAGAATGTTTGAAAGAACCCCAACCCATGCGGGGATTTTTGGATTTACTCTAGCGCGGCAGAATAACACAAGGGGGCAGGCACCCTTGTACCTTGTGGAGTACTCCCATAATACCTGAGCCCTCTATGTAGTCGAACTAAGTAATTAATTCCCTTATTTTATTAATGTTCGTTCGTTATAGGTATGTATTAACTTGTACTTATTTAACCAAAAATAACTAAAGACCCCCGGGATGGAATTTGATGCGCTTTGACACATATGATCATGACTATAATACCTTTCAAACAAATGTAGTTTAAGACGTGGCGGACGTGGGTGCAGCGTCCATACATTTTTGCCCAATGTCCTTTATTAATACAGATTGATAATAACTTCAGACTAAATATATTACTTTCTAATAAATACCTATATTATTAAGAATACAAATGAATTCTTTAATTGTTTTCAGCAATCTGATTTTTTTACAAAAACGCGAAGTATCCTACAATGATACCTACTAAAAAACAGTGACAACAATAAAAAAATGTTTCTGATGATGATGTATCAGTGAAAGCATCTTATTTTGTAGCTTAGTAGTGTTTATAAGTCAATAATATTAATAATTTAAATAATGTTATAAAAATGTATATAATAAGTGATAGTAACTGGAATCGTATTTGTATTTTTTATTTGATAGGATGGATGACTATACTATTGAATTAGGTAAAACCTGTAATAATATTGTAATGTGTTTGAATAAATAAATAAATAAAAACTCTCAGCGGCAGCCACAGCCGCATCTATGTTCCGTAGCATTGCATCGCGTCACATCGTTCATTTGACTGCAAAAAGTACCTACATAAAATATTTTACCGCGCCTAGCTCAAGCCTTTCGTTAAAAGATCAAAAACCGGCGGCCCCCGCCACCCGCGCCCGCCCGCCTGCCTGCCGCACTTCGCGTCGGCTGCATTCGGTCCGCTATCGGAACAATATTCGTCGTTTACTTGATTCTTTAAGACTTGATTCGTAGAGCAGAGAGAAATCATAAAATACAAACGGCAACGATAGATACACAGTTAAGGGAAACCTTATGTTTTAAAACATTTTTTCGCTCTCTTGACTAATTAATCATCAATTGATTTCTGTAATCTATCAACCGAAAGGAAATAATATAAGGCAAGATTTTGTTTACTTGGTCATTTAAAAAATATTTCAATAATTGATAGACAAATTTTTATTATCCATAAAATGTATTTTACCGCTCGTTATTGGAGCTCCCGTCTGGGGATGCAACTTCCACCTTACAGATTACAGAACGCAGTGAAATCACACTACATTTTAGCGGAGAGAGAATTGATATCAAGGGAATGCCTAATTAATATAATGGCGGCACTGTAATGTGACGCAAAATCTTGTTATTCATAAATAGAGCTGGCTTAGTTAATACAATTGATTAAATATTTTTCTACGGTATAAGCGATATACCGTTAATTGAAATTTAATTAAAAACAAAATGTTTTATGTTTTAATGCAAAACAGCAAGGCAAACATCGATCAAGGCGAAAGACTTACAAAGTAACTTAAGTAAATTTATCTTGAGTACTCACCGATACGTGTAACTCCCTGGAAATCTGCGAAATATTTAGGCCTTGTCCGTGTAAAGACAAAATTTGCACTCTTTCTTGTCTAGTAAGATTCCGCGCCATTTTTTTTACTAAATAATAATTTTAAATATAATGTCCAAAAACAAAGCAGTGGGTTTCTTGCGGGCAGTAATCAGAGTCAATAAACAAAGCGGAGGTTTCGTAGAGATAGAAATCAGAGTCCGGATAGCATAAACAGTCGTCGAATTGAAATAAAAATTTGGAGAGCACAAGTACGCGTTAACAAAATGCGGATGACAAATTGCAACTAAAACAAATGCAATTCAATTCATCATTCATAAACATAACACAATCATTCAATCAATGAAATGCTCTCTGTCTTACTTTTGTGCGGCGGCCCGGATTGGCGCGTCCGCGCGAAGGCGGGGCGTAGTAAAAACTTTTGTAGAAAACCGTTCAAAGCATTTTGTTCGCCAAGTGACAGAGCGCAAAATTCCGCGATAGTACATTGTTTTGATCATTGTAGACCCTGAACAGGGCACAACAAATAGAGACCATCTGACTCGCTACCTAGATGATCACTTTTTGATTAATGATCGTCAGTATGTTTTTAGACCGAAACGATCGACGGGTGATCTAGCGTACTTGACTCATGTGAGGTGAGGCTAACGACAAGCGTGGTGAGTCGTTGGCTATCAGCCTTGACATTGCCAAATCGTTCGACGTCTGCCACAAAAGCCTTCTTTCCAAGCTTCCGGCATACGGTCTGCCCAGTTCTGTTCCTGGGTAGCTGACCTCCTGCATGAGCGTAGAATTCGTGTCCTTACGGATGGTAGTAGTTCGCGGTTTATGTCAGTGAATGCTGGCGTTCCTCAGGGTTCTGTGATTTCAATCCAAAGAATTACATCGAAAAAGGCCTCACGCAAACTCGGGAGTCCTAATCAAGGTATAAGACGCAGGTGCGGTCTTGCGTGGAATATTGCTCGTACTGGATGGCTCTGCCAAATACTTGCTCAATGCTTTGGATAGGTTACAACGGCGCCCGATCCGCATCAAAGGCGATGACTAGGTGACTAAACACCTCAACCTCTTCAATTACGCCGTGACGTGGCGTCACTAATCGCATTTTAACGTCTTTACCATGGCAAGTATTCGAGGAGTTATTCTCTCTTATTCCACCTTCCCCTTTCCTTCAGAGCACCACACGCTTCGTTGTCACCGTCTAACTGCCACAATTCCAACGCGTACAAAGAAATTTGGTGACTCATTTCTTCATCACACTATACGTAAATGGAATGCTCTGCTCGCTCACATGTTCCCTCCTTCTTACAACCTTCCTTTAAAAGAGGCCTTAAGAAGCAACATGCAGGCCTGCAAGTTGAGGATGACTGGTGTGGCAGGTAAAACTGCTGTACCAGCTATCCACACATCTGGACTTCACCATCACTTAACATGAGGTGGACTGGAGGACTGGTGGACTTAACATTTGTAAGACCTATTTTATTTGTATATTTTAGTAAAAACTAAATTATTATGAATGACTTCAATTTCTTCTATGCATTGGAACTTATAAAATTTTAAAATTCTTATTTATACGAGATGATAACATACAGTCTGTTACAGCACATATAGTATGGATTATTATTAAAAATAAATTCTAATATTTTATGTAACACGTCTCTCAAAATGTGATCCTCGTGAGGGTGGATTTGGGGTTCACTGCATCTCCTCCCTCACACAGTTAAGAGATCCCTCTCTCTTATTTCATTACTATGTTACATTTAATTTTTAGTAGTTCATTCTGTTCGCATTACAAAATAAAGCATATTAACCGAAAATGTTGGGCATTTTTCTTAATTAGCAAGAAATCAGCTAATCAGTAAAAAAGATGAATAAAAATAATTTATGGAAAATCTTCAATGTGTTGCAATCTTTGGTCTAATGTTCACATTACTGTTTTATATTTATTTTCCGCATGATCTATATTCAAAACAGTTCAAAATTAATGAAAATAGTCAAACTATAACAGATTACTTACAATTTCGTGTCAAAGGAATTAAATTCTAAACAAAGATCTGATTAATGGCAACTATGGGACCAATTCTTGATTGTAATCTCATTGTTTGAATTTGAATTTTTGTCAATAGTGTATATAGTGTCTCCTATGCCTTCCTTAATGGAAAAACAAATTCTTTTGTGAAAAGGACAAACACAAAAAAATGCCAAATGAGACTAATTTTAATTACCCTATTGACCCTGTCACCCGTGGAACAAAAAGTGTGTGGGTAAACCCACACATGACCAAAAATTCAGTACCTGGAATGCTAAAGCTGCATAGATGATGATGCTAACTTACCTGGGGTAAGATATGACTGGAACTGATTAGTACAAGTCATATCTCAAAGGAAGAAGAAAAACAATATTTTGATTTGATTTGATATGCTAATAAGATTAAGTGACATTCAGATGTGGTGGATTTGAGTAGATAAATATTTTATACTATCATACCAATATTAGCAGCTCTAACTTGCATTTCAAATGTATCTTGCTCTATTTGGGTCATTCTGTTAAGTTGTGATTCACTTTCACCTCTCTCTCCTTTGGCAAGTTTTATAATTTCTGAAATAACAATATAGACAAGGCCCCATAATAATGTGATAAAATTTACAAGGATTCAGTATTATAAAATATTGGGACAAGTTAGATTTAATTAAATGTTCCAAAAACAACTAACCCCAAGAAACTTGATTAACTGAATAAGTTTCACTATCATGAAATGTTTATATTTAATTAACCCAGTTTGATACACGTCTTGTTATTATTGAAATAAATTGGTACCTTCAAAGTTTTCCAGCATGCTTTTGATATCTTCTTTTAATCGGGTTGTATAGGATTTTAACAGAGCTTCTTTGTTTTGTGGTAAATTCCTATGCATTTTTTTTTCAAGACAGAACTGTAGTTAAATTACCAATACAAATTTATAAAAATTCTTTCAATCTTATCAAAGACAGTGATGGATGGACGATAACAATGTACTCTATGGATGGACGGTTGGTTTTTGGTTTGTTTACTTTTTCTTTTTTTAAGATTCTCCCTTTTTAGGCAAAGCGAAGGGGACAATGGCCATACAGCTTAGTCTTCAGTTTTCTTTATTCTTTTTTTACATTAGAATGTGGGTGAGACGCATTCTAATGTTTCTTGGAGTGTTTGGCACGAAATGCATAGAGTCAGCAGCTTTCTCGATAAGAAGTCTGTGAGGTAGTCAACACTACAATAAAGTTCTCACATCCGATTACTCGGGATTCTTCCACTTTGGAGTGGGTTCGGATTCGAAGTTCTCTTCATTCCCCGGACTGCTTCTCACGGGGGTGCGCCCCCGCGGGGTTGGGTACCGCTGTTCAGCGGCCGTCGTAGGCGACGAGCCGTTTGTTCTTGCCCCTTTGTGCCCGCTCTCGCCAGGAGGCTTACTACGCAGCCCTCAGCGCGGTCAGCCAAGCCGGGTGAGACCCCATGAGGGGAGGCCCAGCTAGCGCCAGCGAGCAGGCTGCGATTTAGGCAAGCGGGGGTATGTGGGGGCTGTTAGCTGGGTAGTGGAGAGATGGGAGTCTGGATAGTTGGTGGGTGGGACGTGGATGGTGGCGAGAACAAACTGCGTCCGCGGCGAGTGGGACCTGGTGAGAAAGCAGAGTTAGTAGCGCCGCCGGGTGGAAGGGGCGCAATATTTTGTAGATGGTGGTGCGAGCCGCTGTCGGCGCGGGAGAACATGCCCCGAGAAAGGCGGGTCACAAAGGAATCGATGAATTCCACTCTGAGGTCGCGGGATATAATGTCATTGCGAACGTGGCGTCCCGCCCGGGTGATGATGCGGAGCGCGACGTTCTGTTGTTGTTGGAGTCACTGCCCCAGTACCAAGCTGGGGCAGCATAGGTTAAGATAGGCCGCACGTAGATTTTGTAGATGCCCACTTTTGTTTTGAGGGGCAATCAGGATGCCAGAATGGGCCGGAGTGCAGCTCTAACTCCTCGGCTCTTGGTGATGATGGCCGCTTCTACTTGGGCGGCCATGGAAAGCTGATGGTTGATAAATACGCCCAGGTACTTGATTTTTCTTGCCCATCCGATCTTTTTCTTCCCCAGGGCAAGTTTGGACGGGAACTTTCTTTTGTTCGAGGTGCAGATGGCCGTTGTTTCTTTCACATTGACGGCCACTCTCCAGTCTGCCATCCACCTCGGGAGTTTGTTTAACTGGCGCTGCATTCTTTTTGACGCCGCCTGTGCCCAAAATTGCTGAAATGAAAAATGCGCTATCGTCGGTGAACAGGGCCAACTCGACCCTCGGTTCCCACTCCGCCAACTCCTCGTTCAGCAGTGGCATGTCGTTGGTATACACGTTGTACAGCATGGGCGAGAGTACGCTTCCTTGTGGTACCCCAGCTGGTACTTGGCGGATATCCGAATCTGTACTCTCGACCGACACGTAAAAAGAGCGGTTTGTGAGGTATGAGGAAATTAAGTGAATCATCGCCGGATGTATTTCTTCTTGTTTCAGCTTGTATATAAGACCGGGGTGCCAGACCCGCTCGAAAGCTTTCTCAATGTCAAGGAACACTGCCACCGTACAGTGTCCCTTGTTTTTGGCCTCTGTTAGGTGGTGTAGTAGGCGGTAGTTCGATGGTGGTCGAGTGGCCGCCGCGGAATCCAAACTATTCGTCGCGCGGCTTGAATTGGGGTTGTAGTCTTCGTAGGAGTCGCCTCTCGAATAACTTGGCGGAGTAGTCGAGCAGTGTGATTGGGCGATGGTTCTCGGGTCGCCTCGTGTCTTTGCCCGGTTTAAGGATTAAAATTACCTTTCCCTTTCTCCAGGGCGTGGGAAGTGTTTGGTTCTTAGGGCAGCGTTTAGAATTTGGGCCTATGCGGCAATGCATCTTCTTGGAAGTTCTGCAAGGGCAGCCGGGGGCAGCACATCCGATTGGAATAGCGTATATTTTAAAGGTTGTAACACAATATCACACCAATTTTATTACACAATTTTGCTATACCATAACCTACCTGTCTTTGGCCGTATACAGAAAGAAAAAAGGTAGCCTACCAGCGCTTATAGGAACCGGTTCGTGCAGGTAACCGGCGCAGGCATTTCTATGGACAAGCGCCGAACATCGCCGACAAGTTCCGATAATCTTCAACACGCGCTGGTCTACCTTCTTAAAGTAATGGTATACCTTAAGCTATACCACAACTTTGAATGACCGAGTCGAATGCGCATGTGTTTGTGAAAATATTGGAATTTACAGGTGTAGTGATATTGCCATTCCGTAAAACATGTAACGTTTCTTACTGACAAGGCCTCGCCAGTCTTCAATGTTCTTAGGTTTATCTTTAAAAATAGAATTATCATAAAACGTGTCTTCTTTAAGTTGATTGATTGATGTAACTATGCTCATCAATTATTATATTTTCAGTTTGGTAGGATTCTAAATCGCTGAAAACTAGGGTTGTTTTCCAATTACAGGGCATAATGCGACTCAGTGGCGCACAATGCCGAATGATGCTTAATTGGAACGTGAATTAGTTTTAAAATGCACCAGCAGAGTGCGCTAAGTTTAGTGTTAAAAAAAAGTCAATGTTTGTACCTTCATCCATACTTATATTTTTTTTAACACAGTTTGAATTAACTTTGATTATTTAAAAAAAATACTATAATGAAACGAAAGCTTTAATAATTTTTCAACAATAAATAATATTACTAACGATAATATATAAATAAATCATTTCGATCAATGCCAACTTAAAGAAAAAACACTTGTTAATTTTCTGTCACTGAATTGGTACGATTGCACGCATCACACGAAAGCATTACTTTTGAGAGTGCTCGATTGTGCGACGCGTTGCTGTAGTTGGAACATTCAACGTTAAGCATTATGCAGCATAATGCGCTCTAGTGCTGTAATTGGAAAACCATGTAGTCTTACAGTTCCTTTTATTAAACTATATTGTTTTATTATAAACTCGTCAACACGTAATTTACCAAAATTTCTATTGAAGAATAGCTTTTTTATATCTTTAAAATGGCTTTCTACGTTAGAATTTGTCTCTTGTTGATTCGGGTTAGAAACAGCTGATTTAAAGAAAGGGCACATAATATTGCCCCACAGAGGTAATTTACATAACATCCTGATTAAAGTATTTTTTCCAAGGGGAATAACTGCTTTATTTAATTGTTTTTTTTATGTTGTTTTACTGCGAATTCACATAAAATACTTTTACTGATAGAGGCTATATTTGACACACTAATTTTACATATAGCATTGATAACTAGAAAAGTTCATCACGCCAGGTTGACGCCAGCTAAGAATGTTAAGTTCAATATCTTTGGTCCTTTAAGATTATTGATTATGAAATTTTAAAAAGCCAGGGCACTAGTTGCGGTTGCGAACTATTTTTGAGTGTCAATTTTGTTGCTTAAATATATGCCGTTCTTGGAGACGGCCATGGGTACGCTAGGTTGATGTCATGCTAGCCTACGCAGTAAATATGTTCTTTATTTCTTAAATTAAAGAGGCACTATTTTTTGAAGTGAAAACTTCTTTAGCGGCGTTGTACACTTTTTTTGTATGGGTAAAAAATGTTAAACTCGCGTCATGACACGTGGGTTGATCGCATTACAGGCCACGTGTCCTGATCATAAGACGAAAATAATAAAATTGGAAAGTTATGATTTTATTTATTTTTTAAGCATTTAACTGCTAGATGTTTAAATCTAAAGAAAGGTTTACTAGAAAAATCCACGCGGACCAGGCAGCGGACGGGACTCGAACCCGCATCCTTCGCTATCCGGGCGAATGCACTGACCATTATGCTACCACGGCCCTATTAGCCGCGTCGAAATTTTCCTAGCCTTAAGCTGCAAGGCATAACTATAATTGCTATTTCTTCTTTCAAATGTTTAATACTTGAAAAAGTATTCATTTGACATTGTGGGTTACCTACAATGCAAAGAGATGGCGCTGCCTTGCAGCTATAGCAATTATAGTACTTTTATACTAATAATTAAAGAAATTCGTGCAAAATGTTTGTGCTTGTTTTATGTTCTCTGTATTGTGTGTAATAGTGCAATAAAGAATATATTCAAACATTCAAAATTATTCCCTAACCATTCCAAAATATCAAAAATGCACATCGTTAATATTCAAGTTTTTACTTCCGCCTGCACTCCCGGGTAGTTTTCCAGTTACAGAGCTTAATGCGACTCAGTGGCGCACAATACCGAATTATGCTGATGCTTAATTGGAACGTGAATTACTTTTCAAATGCACCAGCAGAGTGCGCTTAAGTTCAGTGTTGAAAAGAAAAGTCAATGTTTGTACCTTCATCCATACTTATATTTATTTTTTTAACACAGTTTGAATTTACTTTGGTTATTTAAAAAAAACTACTGAAAACGAAAGCTTTAAAAAAAATTCAACAATAAATAATATTACTAACGATAATAAATAAGTAAAACATTTCGACCAATGCCAACTTAAAGAAAAAACACGTTGGTACGATTGCACGAATCACACTAAAACATTGGTTTTGAGAGTGCTCGATTGTGCGAAGCGTTTGTAGTTGAAACCTTTAACAAATCATATAAAACGTATAGAAAATGAGAACTAGAAAGGGAAGTATAAGAACTTTGGTTTTATTATAAATACAGGTATCAGAAGGAACGTTTTTATTTTAAATAAAGTTGTCGTTTTAAAATCTACAATAATAATCGATATTTTATATACGAAAGTTTTAATAAGGAAAAACATTTTGCTCACTCTACCTTACAGGTTTGACGCAGCTATGACATCACAATATGGCGCCTTACTGGTAACTGTTACTTAGGAAGCAGATTGAAGCGTAGTTGTTCATTAATTTCAAAGGCCAGCGCTGACCAGCGCGTGTTGAAGATTATCGGAACTTGTCGGCGATGTTCGGCGCTTTTCCATAGAAATGCCTGCGCCGGTTACCTGCACGAACCGGTTCCTATAAGCGTTGCTAGGCTACCTTTTTTCTTTCTGTATACGGCCAAAGACAGTTGCGCTGTGGCAGTCGCCGGTTGAGGCGATTGCGCACGTATGCGTGCACGTATTCTTTGGTAGTTATGAATATCGTTAAAGCCCAATAACTCCATTAAGTTTGAATGGCTGAGAATCATTCGCTCTTTTTTCTTTGTTTTTCGTCGTCTATTGCGCACAGAGATGTGCAAAATAATTTTCGAAAAGTATTTAAATAGAAAATGCAAATACTTTTTTAATATAGTATTTCAAATGCGAGATACAAAATACTTTTGCCTTTTGTATTTAAATACTAATTACAAAATATGTATTTTCAAAATACTTTATTGAAATAAAATACGTTATGGTAAAATTACTGGTTTTCTTTATTTAGTAAAGATTTTAAAATCACAAGCTCTTCAAAAAGAGCATCTGACATGTTGCGTCTGTGTGGACGCATAATCATACCACCATACGAAAATAGCCTTTCCACTGGTGCTGAACTCGGGAGACAAGTGTTGCACCGTAAAAAAAATTTTTTTATTGTTGGATATGTGTTGAGGATATTCCGGCTTGTGTCTTCGTCTCTTAAATATTGGAGGGTCTCCAAATCAGTGCAGGTGCTGCTGTTGCCATCTGTAGAGGTTGCCGAGGAGTCTGAATCATTGAACATATAGGTAGCTTTCCAATTACAGCATTATAGCGCATTATGCGGCATAATGCCTAACGTTGAGTGTTCCAACTACAGCAACGCTTCGCACAATTGAGCACTCTCAAAAGTTAAGTAATGCTTTCGTGTGATGCGTGCAATCGTACCAACTCAGAGACAGAAAATTAACAAGTGTTTTTTCTTTAAGTTGGCATTGATCGAAATGTTTTATTTATATGTTATCGTTAGTAATATTATTTATTGTTGAAAAATTATTAAAACTTTCGTTTCATCATAGTTTTTTTTAAATAATCAAGGTTAATACAAACTGTATTAAAAATAAATATAAATATGGATGAAGGTACAAATATTAACTTATTTTTTCAACACTGAACTAAGCGCATTCTGCTGGTGCATTTGAAAAGTAATTCACGTTCCAATTAAGCATCAGCATAATTCGGCATTGTGCGGCACTGAGTCGCATTATGCTCTGTAATTGGCAAGGACCCATTGTAAGACTCACTTTTTTGCTTCTTTTTCAATATTGATGTTTGTGGGTGTACACTTTTAAAATCATCGTGTTGAAGTTATACTTCTTTAGGCGCGTTATGAAAAAATGATGAGAGTGAAATTTTAAGATGCGCGCGCATCACTGTAACACAAAAATTAACAGCATGAAGTTGGTCTCTTTAGCGACCAACTTCATGCTGTTACTTTTGTGTTTATCGCACATTAAGAAAATCTACCAACAAAATAGAAATAGAATCTCTATTTAGTGGGTGCTAACGACTGCATTGTGAAGGCCTATCAAAAGTATTTATTAATCTGAAACAACGGAACCAAAGCGCGATTCAGGAGACTACAGCGCCATCTCTTGACCATTGGTGTAGTAGAACCAAAAACCACATCTTTATTTTTTGTAATAAAGTAACAGTTATAGGTATTCATATTTATAATATTTATCCACATGTTTCTAGTTTGTATATTCGGAATAAGTGTTTGAGTTTCATACAAGTGCAAATCACATATGTTCTAATAAATTATATTCTGTAGCGATTTTAATTGAATATTTTGATTATTTATTTATTTTTTCAAATTAAAACTGAACTTTATTGCCTGTGTCCTTTTCCAGACTTTTTATTAATTTATTGTAATTAATTATTTGCATGCAATTAAAAACTAATTTTAAACGATGCCAAAAAAGGATAACTTCTCACGCGCCTACATAAGTACACGCACCCATTTTTTGAATATTCGCACTTCCGCAATAAACAATTCCTCCACATACTCCTTCTTTTCAGCTCTTGGTACCCACTTTAACTTGAAGAAGGGATGTGACACAGCTGTTAAAATGCTGTGTTTGGCACGAGTGTCATGCAACTTATATTTATCAAACCGATTTTCAATACTTTCTTTAATTGTATCAACTAAACCACCACTATACACTAGATTTTCTTGCTTTAATAAGTCCAACATTTTTTGCATTCGATACAATTCTGGCTGCAGGCATCCATAAAAAGTCTCCTTGTCGCCTTCTAAGCTCCGAATGACTTCAGCAGCTATGTGCTGGCCATTTTTTGCTTTTTCTGAATCGCGGAATGCTTTAGAAAAATGAAGCTAAGAATAAAAAAGTATTTTGTATTTTACAAACCATTTTACAAATACAAAATACGTCTCGAATAGTATTTCAAATAAAATACAAAATACTTTTTAAAAAAGTACTTAAGTACAAAATCCAAAATATGTATTTTGTATTTTAAATACAAGTATTTCAAATATGTCACAACTCTGGCTATTTCTACAATACGGTTAATACAGTCCGCGCACGATACGAGTGCATACGTGTTTTCACGCCACATTACATCTTTGTAGCCGAAAATCATAACGCGGATGGAAACCAAGTTCCCACCAAGATCACCTTGCTTTAATACGCTGGATTGCATCCGTCTAGAATAGGCTTAAGTAATTATAAAGTCTAGAGTTGTTGAAACAAAAAGTCTATAGTTCTTAAGGGTACGGCCACAGTGCACGCTGGTTCAAAATCAGGTTGAGACTCAGAAAACAGGCTCGTGAGATGTCAGCTTGAGGAAAGCAGGTGATGGCCGCAATGAAGGCATATAATACAAGACGCGGATGCGAGACGCGCAGCAGTTCGCAGTTGTGAACATCGAGGATTTAACTAATGAAGATCAAGCGTGCTTGTTTATTGCTCAGTAGCAATAAACTATTAGTATAGTTGACTGAGTCGATGTTCACAAAATTAATAGATTAAGGAGTGAATATGGGGAATACCAACATTTGTTTCCCCAGTTAAAAGTCGATAGGGAACGTTTCTTCCAATATTTTAGGATGAAACGTTCTACTACATCAAAAAAAATGAACCTCACATGATTAAGAATTGGTGTAATTTGCACCAACACAAGATTCTTCCAGAAGAACGCCTTGTTTTAACCATAAGGTAAGAATTTATGGCTATAATTGAGAATATGGTAACCAAGCCCGCAACGCACGGTTTCTAATGGATAGTACTTCGTCAGTGAGATACAATGGAATAGATTATGTCCCTACTTCAAATAGTAATTAGACAAAGGGATATAAAACTATTTAAAAATTAACACATTAAAGATTATATTCCTTTGTCCCAACATTTAAAAGATAATATTATAAATTGTATCAAAAATGAGAGTACAAGAAAAAAGTATTTCTTTACCTCTAACATCCATTTCTCCAGCGATGTTTTGCCAACACCTTTTAACGACATTCCTATTTGAATGGTTCTTGTCTCTTTTATGGAACACACTTCTGTATTTATTATGTTAATTCTAAAATATATATCAAGAAACAAGAGAAGATCGTAAACAAGAAGCAAGGCACTAAATGTTTGTATATAACACAACCAAGCAAAAGGTTACATATAACTAATAACCTGCAGTCCGAGCGGCGCTGGTGAATTCAGTATCTGAAACAAGAATGACCTAAACATTCCGGCTGGCTCCGAACCCTGCGCGGGCAACCAGTTGCTTGCTGCCACTATGGCCACCCTGCTTAAATTACACTGTTTATTTCTCGCGCTTGTTTTCTGAGTCTGAACCTGATTCTGAACCAGCGTGCACTGTGGCCGTACCCTTACTTTACACAGATCACAGAGTTGTTTAGCATTTGATCACGTTACGTTCGACGAGTTTTGACAGCTCCGTAATAGACTAGTTGACTGATGTCAAATTGTACTTAGATAGATGTTTATTTATTTCCTATAATTTTTATTATGAGGAAACCAAATACATTCATCGATTTCACTTCATAAAATTAGAAGATTTTGACGTCACAAAATCTACTTTGTAACTAAGCCTGAGTGGATCTTTGTTTGTAATTTTACACCATTTAAAATTTGCTTTCCTGTGTGTGCAAAAAGTCTCGACAGGACGCATTGGAATGCTTGAGCTTTCCTATCGTTTTTCAGGATTCTGTGGTGTTATAAGTCTTTTGTTTGATAACACATCTGCTCTTCACATCACTTATAGAAAGTAACCACCGTCTGTAAGGTCTGCATAATGAAAGAAATCCATTTAAAAGATGTTTGCAGAATATGTTTAATAAAGACTGCAGACTCTTTTCATCTGTTCGCTCACGGACCAGAATCCGAAACGATATTAAGCATTATAAATGAATGTTTTCACATTAAATTAAATCTTGAAAGAAATTTGCCTTACATGATTTGCAAATCATGTTTGAGTGAAGTGAAAGCTGCCGAAAATTTTAGAAATAAGTGTCATACTTTTCATGATAGATTCGCTGTTTTTTCACAAAATTTCCATTCTGACCAAGAAGTAAACACGGTAATTACTAACCAAGAAGACTATCTTTGTGGAGAGTTGCAAGTAAATACAGAGAAAGATAAAAAAAATATTGTTGATAGTTTTACATGCAATATTTGTGGTAAAATTTTAAAAGCAAGGGCGTCATTACTTAAGCATGAAGTATCTATGCACCAAAAACGAAACCATATTGGAAAGGTAACTGGATTTGGTGTTGACCGCAAGTACCATTGCACAAGTTGTCCATACACGACTCCTCATAGCCAGACATTAGTAAATCATATGAGGAGACATGATGGTGAACGGCCATATGTGTGTCATTGTGGAAAGAGGTTTACTCAATCATCAGGACTGTCAGCTCATCTTAAAACACATAGTGACACAAGATATTTTACTTGTAGCAAATGTGGAAGGCAGTTTAAACATGCTTACACTCTAAAGAGACATGCTGTTGTTCATGAAACTTCCAAATTTATTTGTAATATCTGCCACAAAGGGTTAAAAAGCAAACAGTCTTTGCAGGAGCATATTCAAAGACATTATAATGTTCGCAATTACAGTTGTGAAGATTGTGGTGATACATTTGTATCTTCATCTGAATTAATTCACCATAAGAAAAAACATTATGTGGATCAGAAATTAGAATGTCACTTGTGTGGCTATAAAACTTGTGAAAAAAGAAGATTGATTTTACATCTTAAAAGGTGACTGTAATAAAAGTATAGATCTATGAGCAGGGGCGGTTTACGAAAACGGGCGCCCTAGGCCTGACGAAATTAGCGCCCCCTCTCCCCTCTCCATAAAATAGTTGAAAAAGCACAGGCTAGAATAAATGATTTTTATACACTCCCGCTCAAAAGTATGGGTTCACTTCTCGAAATTTTCAGCTTCGATATAAGTTCCATATCTTGGTGGAAAAAGGTCGTAAGAGAATTTAATGAGCACCGTTTTGAAGGGGACAGTTTTAGCTTCACTTTGCCATTTTTTATAATTTTTTACAATTTTTTTTATAGTCCCCACGCGCTTTTGAACATGGCAGTTTTTCGATGTTTTTTTGTCCTCTGGGAACGGGCTGTCTGGCTGTTAAAAAATTTTCCTTGCAATTTTATGCATCGCAGTTTGAAAGAGGATATTAAACACTGCATTCTTTCTTTTTTCTAAACGGCTGAGGCATTGCTTTTATTGGTTTCATCTTCATCTTGACGTAATTTGAACTAAAAATTATTTTTTTTATATGAAAAAAACGTACAAAAGATTGTGCGAAATTTGATTTTTAGTAAAAATTATGTCAAGATGGTTATAAAACCAATAAAAGAAATGCCTGCGCCGTCTAAAAAAAAGAAAAAATCATGAGAAAATTTAAATCATTTCGACTGCAAGAGTATGAAAAAACAAATGTCGGAAAAAAATTCTGAAATAAATCTACAAGGTCCATCATGATCTATTGCAACTTTTCACCCCCTTGCTATTTTCTTCGATCACCCGCCGTTTTCAAGATACGCCGAATTGAATAAAATTATCAATTTTTGTCGAAAATTAGAATATTTTTGGTAAAAAAAATCGCACGATACTTTTTCAAAAACAAAAATGCAGTGTTTAATATCCTCTTTGAAACTGCGATGAATGAAATTGCAAGGAAAATTTTTTAACAGCCAGACAGCCCGTTTCCAGAGGGCAAAAAAACATCGAAAAACTGCCATGTTCAAAAGCGCGTGGGGACTATAAAAAAAATTGTAAAAAATTATAAAAAATGGCAAAGTGAAGCTAAAACTGTTCCCTTCAAAACGGTGCTCATTAAATTTTCTTACGACCTTTTTCCACCAAGATATGGAACTTATACCGAAGCTGAAAATTTCGAGAAGTGAACCCATACTTTTGAGCGGGAGTGTATTTCAAAAATAATTTAACGGAAACAGAATTTCAATCATACATATATTATGTAGGTTTGTGGGTAGGAATGGAGCACATATATATTTTATATTGGCGATATTGACGTTTGAGTGGACCCGATTAAAACGTTCGCTTTCTCGCTTTTAATCTTTCAAATTTATCGGCCCGTGGCGCCCCCTTCTGCCACGGCGCCCTAGGCTCGGGCCTAGCGCATAAACCGCCCCTGTCTATGAGTAGTGGCTAAATTAACTAGGTTTGTTTACCTGTTTTAAATTATGCATACCAAAATGTCTACACTAGTATAGAAGACAACTTCTATTTTTTTAAGAAACTGGTCACCTATTGTAATCACAAAGCTAAAACGACAATCACAAACTGCTCAAAATATATATTTTCTAAAAGTAAATCAACCTGTATACAATATACCCTTCATTTATTATTATCATAGATGGTACATTGCGGTAACACATCCCTTAGATAAGCATTAAATTTAAGTGACACCATCGAACATGTTTACCAAATACTATAAAAGTTATAGTAATATTATGTTCAATTTGATATCTACTGATATTTTGGTAGAAGTATTAGAGTGTAAAGTACTCCACTGACATAGAATAGGTATGGAATGGAATTGAACAGGCGTACAAGATACTAATGAAGTAAAACCAATCATTTTCTTTTGTGTTTCAGACATACTGGAGATAAAGCTTACAAATGCAAGCTATGCGAAGTTACATTTTATACTCAGGGTGAAATGCGGCGTCATCAAAGGGTACATACACATGAAAAACCTTACTTGTGCCCAGCATGCTCACAACGTTTTTCATATAGTCCAAGCCTCAATAAGCATATGTCAACAGTACATGGTGTTCAGTATAAATGGGGTGATATAAAGAATTTAAAATCAGAAGTAAAGGATTTTTCAGTACATAATAATAGTTGCATCAAATAGCTAGTTTTATAGATGCTGTTCATTTTCATAATAAATTGTATATTATCATTATTATATCTACCCTTAGTCTTGATTCAGTATTTTCAAGTTAAGAAAATTTTAGAGAATCCTATTTCAGAAATATATCAATAAGTTAATTTATTTTGAGAACCTGTGTTTCTATTGGCTGTCCTGTCTAAGAAATTAGTTCCACAAAACAGATAGATACAGCGGCCAAGCACGAGTTTTTGCAGCAACAGCTCCATAATAATAATGTTTTATTTCAGATACTAGATCCTTAGAAATATTAGTAACAATCAAAACTTAAAAACAATGTTAGTACATTTTAAAACAAAGTTATTTCATATAATTATATACCTTCTGAGGCACCGGTCACATGAATGTGTATATGTACCCAGTGCAACAGAATGGCACACCGGTTTTTTCCCGATAACATCGAGAATACTGTTAGCGCTCCCACGAACCCTGTGCATCAACGATGCAATTCTCTTGCGCATCACTGACGGGAAGTCGTCCAAGTGGGCATCTAAGAACATACCCGATGCACTGCAGTTGCGTGGGAGCCCCAACAACATCCTCAATCCATTATTATATTGGACACGGATAGCGTTGTATGTCCGCTGCGTATTATCTGACATCAGTAGGCCTTGAACAAGGTAATTTTAACATCTGCAGTACACCGAGCGAACCTGCGAGCCAGCATGTTGCAGCGGACAGCCAACGCTCTCCGTGCTCTCTCAATATCTGAGCCTTTTTTAAAGTCCTCAGTGACCACATGTCCGAGGTACTTTGTGACACGTTTGAGTGCGACACCACCCAGTGTCACAGGGGGAACAACGGCCGGTTTTTTCGAACCTACGCAAAATACAAGGAGCTCACTTTTAGCCACGTTATATTTAAGACCATGAGTAATAATGTAAACCTCACACACTGATAAGTCTTCTAAGGGCGCTGATAGATGGGCTCAGAAGAACCATATCACCCGCGTAACTATACTATTAACACAAGAGTCCGTCAACAGAGCAGCCGACACGAGAGCTTCTGAGCCCAACAATCAGCTCATTCATATACAGATTGAATAATGTGGGTGAGGTTAAACCCCCCCTGCCTGACCCCGCACCCTAAACTGTACTCATCCGCTAGGACATTTGACCATTTCACTTGATTGGTCTGATGACCATACCAATAATTAAACATGTTAACATTAGCAACAGGTAAACCCGGTTCTCGCAATTTCGTCCACATGACCTCATATCTTACTAGGTTAAATGCCCTTGAGAGGTCAAGAAAGGCAGCGTAAACATGAGTATTTCTCTCCGTGTATAGCCTACAGTGTGCTTCAGCGCCAGGATTGCACTTTCAGTAGATAATTTAGACCTGTACCCTTAGTACGAGTTTTACCATTACGAAAACTATGATAGTTTTTGTGAGCTCGCATTCGTACTAAGGGTACTGATTTTATTGTTTTCGTTTCAATACAAATAAACAGTGTTTAAATTCTATCATTAAATCATTTGCATCATCTTAAAATTTTAAGTTTATTTGGTTACTTTTCACCAAAATGAACATAGAAATATAATTTACAATTACGAAAACTATTGACAGTTTTCGTGAGCTCAAACTCGTACTAAGGGTACTGAAGCCAAATTTTGCATAATCTAATTTTAACTGTCGCTGAAGCACTTCATCGAACACCTGAGCCGCCGTTGTTGCCAAAGACATCGGCCGATAGTTAAAAATGTCCGAAATGTCACCCGTTTTATTTTTTTAAATTGGTACCACAACCGACCACATAAGGTCTCCCGGCAAGTAAGAGTGTCTGAAACAAAAGGTAAACAACAAGGGTCTGGGTAAGTGTGGGCCAGCATGCTGAAAGTGTTCAATGCTCAGGCTGTCATGACCCGGTGACTTTCCGCCCTTAATTCCCTTTATTATAAATCACTAAATTTCCATAATGTCATATAAAAAAGTTAACTTTAAGTAACTTAAATTTAACTTTACCGTAACTTACCTTAACGTTATAAAAAATTATTTATATCAATAAATGGAGTTATATGCAGTCTATTTTTTATTTACCCCACTTACCCGGTTTTACACCAGACAAAAAAAAGCACTCTATTCAAATGTATTGTTTTATTATATACTGAAGCACATTTATTAAACATTGACATCAAGAATATTTCACATACACCCAAGATCAAATTAAAAAAGTAAATGTCATCTATTTGTAAAATAGAACGAATTTCCAAATAAACTAAGAATTATATCATGTCAGACTCATTAAAATATTTTTTTATTTATTAAGTATTTAAATAACCGTTTTTTAATTTTATTAATTCAATAAGAAGTTAATTATTATTTCTATGATTAAAATACTAAGGGTTACCTGTTTAAAACATCACTATTTCATATTATTGATATCTTGAATGTTGTATTTAAATACTCAGTTCCCTTTCACTACATTAACACAATATTAGCAATATCATAGCTAGAAACTTAGTTTAAAAATATTTAAATGGTATGTAATTATAATTAATGATTCAATATACTAAATTTCCATTTTAACTTATAAAATACCACATCGAGTATGTGTTACGAATACGAAATGTAAAATCCAGAGTCATAGTGGTTTGAGAAGGTTTAGTCCTCTTCATAATCCTCGTCATCAGAGATGTATTTGCGCTGCTTACGTTTCCGCCCAGGAGTTCCCTTGCCTTTGCCTTTTAATTTAATTTTCATTTTAACTGATCTATTTGACTCTCCATCTGATTCTTCATCTTCTGCAAAGAAAACAGTATCTTCAGAATTATAGAGTAAATATCGATACGACTGGGCGACCGAATTTTCACTTTTTTTATTAGGTGATTAAAAGACTGTTTAAATAAGATTTAAAGAAAACCAGCCACATAAGACACTTTAATTATAATAAATATCGAGCAAAAACAATACGTCTGTTGTATGGGAGCTCCCCTATTTTATTTTAAGAAACCTTATGAGAGGAGGCGCGCAATGTTTTTACCATACAAACGTTCTCGACTGAATTCTCCTTGATTTTTATCACTAAAGAATTGATTTTCATAAATAAAATATAATTTTACTCAATAAATGAGTATACAATCAAAGTTGGTAAAGTCCACATTGCCAAAATGTTCAGTAAACGATAAAAACGATTATTTTAATAATTACAGGCAACTATTCTAATGTTAATCATTATTTATATGCAGAATGTAATACTATAAGAATATACAAGTGTTCATCACGTTCAGTTAAATACTTTTGAGTAAAGATGGATTTTCCCAGGTTTGTTACAAAGTTTTGGCATTTGTAACTGTATTCAATTTCTTCTTTAATGGCTCCTTAAAGATTAAGCCAATGACTAGTGTATTTTTTGTAACTGTAACACAACAAAAGAGCATTACAACATCAGGCCGCCATGACAGCTGTCAGTGAAATGGAGGCAATGGAGCTTTCCTATTGGTCGAAAAGGACTTCACGCAAATTGAAACTCAACTCACTTGGACCTTGCTACCACTGATGCCAGATTAGGGGATTCCACCCATATTTGGTATTTTTTTAAGCGTTGGGGGGAAGAAATTTGTGTTTGGGGGAAATGGGGGTTTCATTACATTTTTTATATAAAATAAAACCACTTCATAAACTTTTGATCTGTAAAGTCTCGATCAACAGTCAATGAATAGTATCTCTTTCTCATTCTGTATAGAGCATGACAAAGATGGACTGTTGGCAAAATTCATTTTATTAGGCTTATAGAAGTATGCCGGATTCGGATTTTTAAGTCCAAAGCCCATAAAAAAATGTAATCGTCGCGTCGGTCCAATCTGTTTCGCTCAGTCGCTCGGTCAGTCATGTTCATGTAAAGTAAAGCAAGTTAGTTAGTCGTTAATGTTCGTTAGCTTAAACTGCAAATCGATTCGACACTATCTATCATCTTTGCTCTGCTAAATCGTTATTTGTGCAGAAGTACTTACTATGTAGTAAATATTGTATTTTGAAGTGAAACTCCTTTAGGCACGCTTGACTTCGGGGGTAAACTGGCGAATGTGTTACGATTAGTGTCATCGATGACTCATCGGTAAACAATACCCGTCAGAAAATACATGAATCTAGTGCTTGATGGGTGATAACGGACCCAGTGCGCATTGGTGGGTGATAACGGACCCTGCGTGGATTGGTGGGTGATAACAGACCCAGTGCGGATTTGTGGATAATAACAGACCCAGTGCGGATTGGTGGGTCATAACGGACCCAACGCGGATTGGTGGGTGATAGTGGACCCAGTGCGGATTGGAGGGTGATAACGGACCCAGCGCGGATTGGTGGGTGACAATGGACCCAGTGCGGATTGGTGGGTAATAGCGGATCCAGTGCAGATTGGGTGATAACAGACCCAGCGCGGATTGGTGGGTGACAATGGACCCAATGCGGATTGGTGGGTGATAGCGGATCCAGTGTGGATTGATGGGTGATAACGGACAGTGCGGATTGGTGGGTGATAAAGGACCCAGCGCGGATTGGTGGTTTTTTATTCTATCAACAAATCTTCAGGTTAAGTTTATGATTTTCAGATCATAAGAGCTAAATAAGTTTCACTTCAGTCGTGTGGTCATAAGCACATTACCTTTTTTTTAATAAATATTTTGCATGTTGAGGAGTTTTTTCTTTAAAAACCTGTATTTTGGGGGGATTTCGGGTAAGATTTGGGGGGAAGGCGAAATAGATGTTTGCTACGTTTGTTGGTAAAGTCAATTTTCAATTTGAAATAACAGTCGAGATTTCTATAATTTGTATAAAATTATTCTACGGGATAAATATAGATACGGAAATGAATGTGTTGTAATTTAAATCTCACTTTTGAAACTTTCTGCACTTTAATTGTATACCCCTGTATGTACTCCTTTTTTAGATAACTTGTGTTTCAAAGAAACTGGAAGCTCTCAAAAAGGCCAAAAATAAACAAATTTTATCACCACGTATAGAGACGTCTAGTGTGGAGATTTGATAATTATTTACAAAAAATTAAAACAGAGGTATATAATAACCACTTATACGATGTGTACAATTTTCAAGGAGGAAATCGTCGAGATGTGGCACCTCGAATATTGCAATTATTTTACGCAATTTTCAGTGTTAACTACTGTTGCCCCTATCACACGGTATAAGCCTTTTCCTAAAATGTCTCTCAGCTCACATCAGCTCTTAAATATTTAATTTATTCTATTTTTAGTATTTTTTGTTATAGCGGCAACAGAAATTATTATATTGAGCTCCCCTTGCTTCGTAAGCTACGTTAGACGTAGGTCCCGCACTGCATTTACAGTCGTTAGCTCCAACTAATCTGCACTGGGCCGCGTGGCGGTTCGTGGAATCTCCCTCTTCCATCCATGCAAAGCAAGTGTTGGTAAAAACCACTCCGTGGGTTGTTAGTCTTGCTAAAACGCTTTTCATGTGTCTGGTAATAGGCCAAAGCCATTTTGGTCGTGATAAAAATCATGAGTGGCTGGCTGGCTGGCCGCGGGTGGCTGCTAGTATAATATAACTCCAGCTTATGAAGATATTTACACCTTCGAACTAATTATAACAGAAGTTCTTCTGTCACCAATCAACTCAAATGTCAATAAATCACGACATGAATTAGTATATCTGTCACCGGTAATCTGTATGATTCAGGTATTATATACATTACCTAGCAGTGCTTCCCTAACTGTGCGTCGCGACGCCCTGTGACGTCGCGCCAATGTCCTAGGGGCGTCGTGAAGCGATCGGCAAACATTCGCTGACTGTAGATACAACCGAGCTCTATAAGCGCTGCGCGCATTCTGTCATTCAGGAGAGCAGTAAAGAAACTGTAGAAAAATGGAAGAAGTATCGAAAATATGACGACCAATATTTAGATTTTGGGTTTACCTACTCTAAGTCATCTACGAGGCTTTTTGTTCGGAAATTGCGAGAACTGAAACATCAGTCAACGGCATTACTTCAAGAGCGTCAGTTCCTACCAAGGCATTGCTCGCATCCTACAAGGTAGCTTACCGTGTCGCAAAATGTAAGAAACCACACCCGATTGCTGAGGAATTGATTTTACCAGCTGCACTGGATATGATATCGGTGATGATTGGAGAATCGGCGGGTAAAGCAATAAAAAACGTACCTCTTTCGAACAATACAATTAGCCGTCGAATTCATGACATGGCAGAAGATATTAATGAGCAAATTGTGGAAAAACTTTCAAGTCTATTTGCTATTGAACTGGATGAGGCGACCGATAGTAATGACGATGCTCAAAGGATATGTTACATGCGGTATATCAAGACAAAAATGTATGTGAGGATTTGCTATTTTGCAGAAAAATATGTGAAGGTACAGATTTATTCAAGATCTTAGATTCATACATGGTCGAAAATAATATCAAATGGGAAAACTGTGTAGGTGTGTGTACGGATGGTGCTCGAGCGATGTCAGGAGAGTATGGAGGACTACAAGCTCTCATAAATACCAAGGCTCCAAATACAAAATTGACACATTGTATCATACACAGGGAATCCTTAGCAGCAAAAAATATTACACCTGAATTAAATTCTGTGATGAATAATTGTGAACTTTATTAAAAAACGACCTGTGAAAGCAAGACTTTTCCAAAAGCTTTGTGAAGAATTGGGCGCAGCACGCACATCTTTATTTTATTATTGTAACTCTCGTTGGCTGCCCAAAGGCAACGTACTCGCACGTGTATACGGATTACGAAATGAGATTTACACATATCTACTAAAATTGGCATATCTCTGCGACATATTCCAAAAATTTAATGACCTTAATAAGTCCTTGCAGGGAAATAATACGCATATTCTTCAACTGGTAGATAAAAATACTGGATTTCAAAAGAAGTTGCTCTTATGGAAAATAAATTAAAAAGAAAATCAAGTGAACACTGACTGTTTTCCTGCATTACATGGCATTTTACAAGAAAATTCTATGGAAATCCTTGACCTTTCAATAAAAATAATATTTACACAGCACTTGTCATCATTAAGCAAACATTTTGACAATTATTTTCCCGAAAATCTGGAGCAATATGACTGGGTTAGAAATCCTTTTCAGTCGACCTCATCATCAACACTTTCTACAGTGGAAGAACAACAAGTAATAGAGTTGTCCTGTGATTCGAGCCTTAAACTTCAATATGATAAAGATAAACTGCTTGAATTTTGGATCTCAGTTTCTCACGAATATCGTACCATCAGCACGGCAGCATTGAGAGTTCTGCTGCCAGTTGCGACATCGTACTTATACAAAATGTTTAGAAAAGCAAGCACATACTTCTCATTAGCATTCTTCCTTTTGCTAACCATAAATAAGTGTAATAATAATGAATATCTCTTGATTTTCATACGTATTTTGTAATAAAAAATATGAAAAATATTCTGAAGTTTTTCTGATAACCTCATGCGGGGGGGAGGTTTGGGCGTCGCAAGAAATATAACAATTCTATAGGGCGTCACTGTGTAAATAAGTTTGGGAAGCCCTGACCTAGACAATGTATATAACACCTGAGGCGTTTAGGCAATGTTACCAACCCTTATCAAAATTTTCCCCTAAGTATTTTTTAAATTCCCCTAAAATACCCTGCCCTACCCGCTACCTATACACCTTTTTATACGATTTAAAAATGAAGGAGATTATAAATTCGTTGGATCTTTTTTGTGTATGTCCCCCGATTACTCGAAAGCTGCGTACGGAGCGCGTGTAGAGCCATTTTGTACCAAAGTTTATCGCGCAGACGTGGGAGAAGCATTAGAAATATGTATACCCCTCATCTGTGTAAGTGGATGATTTCTGCGACGAGTTGAGAAAATTATTTTAATTTTTCATATTTTGCGTTTTATTATATTTAGTGATGGTTTTTAATTTACACATCTCTGATACAGATAAGTTTGTAGAAAAACTATTCAGGATCGATTTAAGACATAAATGAAGCCTGGTTGTTTTTTAGAACTCGAATAATAAGAGGAAAATCAGAATTTATATGTACCTACGTATTACCCAATTTCTTTCGTTGCTCATAAATAAAAACGTTACATATTTAGTTATAGTAAATAATTTTATTGAATAAATACAATTTCCCAAAGAACAATCAAACGAAAATGAGCTGACTGGCTGTTAAATCTTATTAAGCTGTTTTTTAACTTTAGTCCATACAGCCTTAGAAAACGACCCGCCACACAGTCAGTCGTTTCATATCGTGGTGCGATCCATTCTACGCACAAAACTGAAAGAAAACACACGCTTTGTTTTTCGATTTAATTGAAAGTTTTGATAAAAGAACCCTCAATAAATTCCAGCCCCTAAAAACAGTCCGTTTTAACACTTCTAGCCCCTAAATCTGGGGGCAAAACCCCTAAGTTGGGAACCGTGCGTTTAGGTAATGTATAAAACATTATTTTTTGCTATTTTATACTTTGCCTTTTCCTAGAGATTGTAAAGAGTATGAGATTTAGCATGTAGGTATTTATCCTATCCAAATCTCCCGACTGGCGTGAGTGCTGATTCGTTAGATTGTTTAAGGTCGCGTCGTTTGATTGGCTTATTATCTATTAGGTGGAAGTGTAGTGGGGGCGAGCCAGCGACATCAGTTATCATACGAGTGGTCCCTTCTAACCTTTTAACCTTTTTAGTGGCATCTTTCATTCAAGGCAGTCTGCTTTTTAGTCAAAATGCCGTATTAGGCATTATTGCAGGAGCGGAATCTTGCATTGCCGGCACTGTGTTCACAACCGGAATTTTGTCGAGATAACGAGGCCGTAGCATAAGGCAAATCCCGGAGTACCAATTTGTAGATCACTACAAAGTTCTTGCTAAAGAGATTAGCGAGCGGTTAGTCTCTGCCTTGATATGAGTAAATCTAATTTCATTTTGGGTGTGTGCCGACCAAACGTAGACAAGGAAACGGTTTATTCCCAATCGGAACATGAGATGAGAGTGCTGGGCTGGTGGGACAGTAAAATGTAACCATTAGTGTATTACCTTTTTCGTTTTCATCAGAGTCGTCTGAATTCTGTCCGTTTTCGTAACGGCGACGCACTTCGATAAACACGTTACGTAGACGCACGGAATCTGCGTAAATCAATGAGGCTTCCTCATTGTAAGTCTGCGCGTTACAACAAAGCGTGAAAAAATCGCGCTCTAGGTCCGAAATATCGTTGTACTGTAACATTTTAAAATTAAATATTCAATTATTTTTAATGGACTGTGTAAAAGTATAATAATAAGAATCGTTTCAATAACTGTTTTGAGCAAGATGGGGATCTGCGTTATAATGTATCAAATTCGAAGACTATTTAAATAACTTTTTAGTTCATATCAAGAATGAATACATAAAACAAAACTTACCTTGCCATCTTCAATTCTGTTCATAATCTTTTTGATATCTAAAGGCTTCTTGATAACATCATAGTAATCTGGTAGTTCCCGCCTTGAGGGTAGTTTCATAAAAGGCTCCGAAAGCACGCGTCCTCCCCTGAGAATTAACAAAGTGATTAGAAATATACTGAATGAACAAAACTATAAAGGCATATTCATCAATACTCACTCATCTGTATAATCAATGACTTTTTTCATTATATTCTTCAATCGTTTCTTCTGTTGGTTGACTTCTGTTTTACTTTTCTTTTTCGACGAGCACGGCATCTCTTCATCTTCTGAATCCTCTTGGTTACGACTAAAATAAAAATGAAAAATAATCTTTAAATCACATATCACTGCAATATACCTTCCTTCCTCGTCCTTTTTCTTTCCTTGACCCTGGTATTAAAAAAAAATAGGATAGAACTAACCGTCGCTTCCGACCCCTCTTCCTCTTCTTGTCAAGGACCTCGTCATCGTCGTCGTCCTCCTCTTCCTCTTCGAACTCCTCGTCGATGGCCTTGAGCCACTCCTTCTCGGTGAGCGAGTCGGTATAGTCCACCTCTTTACGCTGCCGGGAGCCGCGCCCCAGCGACTCGTCTTCCTCCAAGTAGTTCCAGCCTTGACCCTGTTAATAAGTACAATGAGTTATTAAAAACATTGCTTTTTAATATATTAAAAGATAATTCTACTAGAAAATTTGAACTCGACCTAGGTGCAAACCAAGGGCATCTAGCCTCTTAACCCCAGGAGGTGATAAATATTTCCGAATTTGATGATGCTTTGTAAGATTTTTTAAAGGTTTTAAATAAAAAAATAAAATTAAATGTGTAATAAGAGGTTTTCTATATGTTTTAAAAATAGAGGTTGAAGAGGTTATACCAGGATGATGCATTTTCAGCAACAATATTCCCTCCATGTGGTGGTTAGGTTAGGTTAGTCCACGCGATTCTAATCACTGCTTAGTTAGTTTGGAGATAAAGTTTCATCTTGTACTCGACTGAAAAGAGTCCACCCTCGCGCTGGAATCTATAGCATACCTTCGGGTATCTTCGTACAATGCGCTGAATTGGTAACAAGTGTTTATAATAGTTAGTAATCAAACAAATTACTTTTTACAATTTTTTTTAGTGTGTATGCTGTTTTTCGCAGATGACCTTGACAGCGTCACCGGGTTTGGGGACGGCAAGATTCTAAAGCGACCTCAAGCCGAGAATTGGAGTCTCTAGAGGTATTCCAGGCGGAAGGCTCCTCCGCACGTCTCTTCTCCGTCTGAAGCCTCTAGATCACTCGATCCTAAGGGCGTCAATTTAACTAGAAGCCGTCTCTGAGACTCGGACCTAGGCTCTAGTTAGCCGTTGTTGTCATGGGTGGTGACGAAAAAGGCCCAGGTACGTATCTGTACCTGGTATAGCGTGTCGTGTATAGACAGGGTCTTCGCAATCTTATCCTACGTGGGGTGCTGGTGCTGGTGCAGTGTCTATCTAATGCTAAGCTAGTGTGCAAATATGCTAGCTGTGCAGTGTTGTTATTTGTGGCCTGTGTGCAGCGTTGCCAGACGTCCGATTTTGGCGAGACGTCCCGATTTTTAAAACAAAATTAAATGACACAGGCTCAATCCCGCTTTTCGGGAATAACTCGGGCGCGTAATGAAGAGCTCTCCAACAAAGATTCAACTATATAACGATAAGGTACATCTGATTTTAAATAGCATATTCATTATATTACATTTTCTGTGGATACTTTTACTAGGGTTATCTTTTGTCACGTAAACGTAATTTGAACACAAATAAAAAGATAAATATTCAAAAACATTTGGTTATATAGGTTTTTTTTTATGTCCCGCTTTCGAGGAAAGAATCCCGCTTTTTCACTCAAAAAGTTCCTAAATCCCGACTTGGTAAAAAAAAAACTGGCAACGCAGCCTGTGTGGGAGGAGTCGGAGGCGCGTTGGCACGGGTGATTTCGTCGTCGGGGTATTCTAAGACGTGCTTAGGCTGACGAAATCGGGAGGGAGAAAGCAAGCGTTTGTAATTATTAATAAGTAAACCTTATTGCAGACAACTTCATCCTCGTCCTTCACAAGCCAGTCGGGAAGTTCTGACTCTTCAATGAGACGCGACTGTGCCTCTGTCTTCTTTCGTTCCTGGTCCATTTTCTTGAATATTTCCAATTCCTCCTCTGATCGAGCTATCATCTCGTTAATCAGATCATCATCTGGTACTTCGTTTTCTTCCTGCACAGTGTAACGATAACAATTTTTAAATCAGAAAGGGTAAAATAAAACAATATCTAACAAAATTCAAACAATACAATAGTATTGTTGACAATATTAATAATATGATATATACTTCTTCGTCATCTCCGTCTTGATGTAGAATACTTTGAAGGAACTGCTGCCGTTCAGACCCCGTCGACTTTTGATCGAACATACCGGCTTGAATAACTTTTTCATCCATGTTCAATTTGTACCTGCACAAATAATATGATGACGTGGATCAGCAAAATCAATTTCATTTGTTTCCTAATTTCCTTCTGGTTAGGATAAGATATTTTTGCTTCTGGTTAAAGTACTTTTGACAATTATTTCAGATACTATTGTATAAACAGACACTCGTGGCAGACGGTTCCATAAATCATTTGGTCATAGAGATGCGCACGGGCAATTTTTGTGAACTGTTGATAAAATGCAATGTGCTTGAATCATCAGAATGCAAAAATGTGTATGAATCACCTCACTATAGTTAATTAATAGTTATACATTGTAATCAATTCATTAAATACCGATTTTGATTAACACTATTATAAAAAAAAAAAATATGCTGCAGGGAGTGGAGTTCAGTTACAAAAAAATGGCACGGAGAAGAATTGCGTCGCACTAATCACGGCTCTTGTCGGCTCCATTTCCAATGCAATACAATGGTATATTTACTCTAGAGCCAAAGGGATAATGTCCGGAGCGGCAGACAGCGTGAAACAACGAAAGCCATACATTCTTTAATTTAATGTCCGTAAAGTTATCTAGAGATTGGGTATTGGGAAATTGGATGTTATAATACAATATTTGACTCAATATTTCAGTATTGTAATCTAAGTAGAACGAATCGGTAGGTCGATGCATAAACGCGTTATTGAATAATTCAAATTGGGCGAACCTGGCGGCGGCGAGAATTCTTTCCTCGACCGAATTGACGGTCATAAGTCTCAGTACGCGCACTTCATTGCGTTGCCCGATACGATGCGCGCGATCTTGCGCTTGAAGATCCTGGAATACAAAATTACGACATAATAACACTTATATTAAAAATAAATAATATTAATATACTTTATTGCACACAACAGCGGAAACTTGAAATTTGTTAAATACTCTCAGAATACAAGAGAACGTATATACTTATATATGCTGAGTAATGATCTTTTCTATGAACCAAATATGGTCCACACAGGGAATTACAAAACACATGTTATTCAAATAAAATTTTAATAATTATTGTTATAGTTTAACAGACTACTAAAACTACTGAGACTAAAATGCATTTGCGTTCATTTCGCATTCGCAAACATTTGATTGCAAAATAAAATTACAAAATTCATTAATTCTGAAAAAAAAACCATTCTTTATCTCGATGGCGCAGGTGGCTAGCGCGTTCGGCAACGATCGTTGATATTAAGCAACTTTCGGAATGGTCAGTCATTGGATGGGTGACCAAAAATCTTCTATCCCGAGTTCCTCCGTGCTTCGGAAGGCACGTTAAACCGTTGGTCCCGGCTGCATCTGCAGTCGTTAGCATCCGCCAATCTGCACTGGACCCGCGTGGTGGGTCATGGCCCAATCTTCCTATTCCATCCATAGGGAAGGCCTGTGCCCCAGCATTGGGGACATTAATAGGCTGATGATGATGATGATTGTACCTGATGTGGATTCCAGTCGGAATCGAATATGATGACGGTGTCGGCGCTCTGCAGGTTGAGGCCGAGCCCTCCAGCGCGCGTGGACAGCAGGAACATGAAGTAATCAGAATCAGCGTCATTGAACTTCTTCAGCAGTTCGCCACGGTCTTCGGCCTTGGTCATACCGTCCAATCTGTATACATACAAAAAATGACCTCCGGATCTTCACTTGGCTATTAGAGTTTACTATTTGTAAGCACAACATCATTCTGTACTTTTCATTAGTTTTAGCTAACACGAATATCAATTCAAATAGAACAGCGCATAAAATGTTGTCATTAATGTATCCATGCAAGCCTAAGATGACCGGGTCAATTTTGACCTAAGAAGTAATAATGATTTATTTATTAGACAGAAGTCGATAAATAAAACGAGATTTCAATCCGCAGTAATTGTAAGCGCCGTAAAAAGTAAGCTTTCTTTAAACAGCCTACAATCTAGCCTAAAAAGAATATTAAGTATGTGCTGAAACATGATTACAAAAAAGATATAAATAACTAGCAGATGCCCTCAACTGTCTGCGTGGAAAAAAAAACATATAAACTTCCCTTTTCACCCTATTAAAGAATTTGTTTTTTTTTTGTTCTGGGGTAAACTATCCTCTTTCCCCGGGACTCAAACTGTCTATATACCAATCTAAATTGGTTAAGCGGTTTAAGCATGAAGAGGTGACGTACAGACAGAAAGAAAGAAGACACTTTCACATTTATCATATAAGTATGAAAAAGTATGAATATACTTTGGTGAGTGACATTATTTAAGATACAGTGCATCTTACCTCAAGTATTGGAAACCCCTCCAGGAGAGATAATCCTCCATGATGGTCATGCACTGCGTCATCTGACAGAACACCAGCACCCTGTGTCCAGTCTGTTTAAGTTTTGGCAATATGCGATCTAATAACTCAAACTTTCCGGAAACCCTGTATAAATCTGGCCTGAAATAATAAATAAATGTTTTAAAAAATTATTTAAGCATTAAAATGCTTGATACCTTACCCGAAAGGCATTCCAGTAAAGAACAAAAACACATTACTATGCATTATCTTAAATGAAGACAATAATAAAGAACCTAAACAGTTTTACTGTGTCTGCAGTCGTTAGCACCCAATCTGTACTAAGAGCGCGTGACGTTATATGGTATAATCTCCCTATCATGCATATGGCACAGACTGATGACGATGACTTGAAACATCCATTAAACTAAAACACTATAAATAAACTGATATAATAACAATACATAATACCGCCACTGATATAGTCTATACAAACAGCGTTTTCTACAAGAAAATAGGCTGACGATGATGATAGTAGCAATATAAATGAACGAAATTTAGGTTAGGTTATGCTAAAGTAGCATGTTCTTATAAGAATCTCTAATTAAATAGAGATAAAAAGAAATAAACTCGAAGTATAGGTACCGTTAAACTTCTTGAGCAAAACTACAGACAAATAAACCGCCGCTGTCGACGTGGTCGCAGAACTTATTTTGTGAAACATGAAGGGGTGGTTGCACAGCTTGCGCAGCTGCATTATGTTGTTCATTATTGTCCTTCTCTTAATGTAAACAAAGGCATAGTATCCAGTGACGACACCACCGCCGCTGCCGCCGGGTTCGCAGAACTTCTCCTCGATGTGGTGGAACATGAAGGGGTGGTTGCACAGCTTGTGCATCTGCATTTTGTTGTTCATTGTTGCCCTTCTCTAAATGTAAACAAACGCATAGTACCCAGTGACGACACCACCGCCGCTGCCGACGTGATCGCAGAACTTCTCCTCGATGTGGTGGAACATGAAGGGGTGGTTGTACAGCTTGCGCAGCTGCATTATGTTGTTCATTGTTGCCCTTCTCTACATGTAAACAAACGCATAGTACCCGGTGACGACACCACAGCCGCTGCCGCTGGGGTCGCAGAACTTCTCCTCGATGTGGTGTAACATGAAGGGGTGGTTGCACAGCTTGTGCAGCTGCATTATGTTGCCCTTCTCTAAATGTAAACAAAGGCATAGTACCCAGTGACGACACCACCGCCGCTGCCGACGTGATCGCAAAACTTCTCCTCGATGTGGTGGAACATGAAGGGGTGGTTGCACAGCTTGCGCAGCTGCACGATTGTGTTCATGAGAGCCTTCGCCCCGCCCTTGCCCTTGTTGCCCTTCTCCGACCCGTCTGTGAGGAGGACGCCCTTTGACTGCATGTGTCTGTGTGTAGAAATGTATGTGTTTGTATGAGAAATACCAAGGGGTATTTATGAGTTTGTTTCATTGGAATACGTTTAGTTTCCATGCTATAATGTCATGTTTGTATACTAAAATAGGGATGTTGTCACTAATCGCAAATTCATGTTCCGTGTTAATTTTATTACATCACATGGATTTAAGTGACATTAATTTCAAATGCTATATTTATCACCTAGTGTCACGTGATTCCAAACACCAATAGGAGCGCGTGTCGTCATTAACAACTAAACAAATACGGAAAGGCGGGAAAGGCTTTTTACTTCTCTGTTTTGTCTTGGTTTGTGTTCAATCAAGGTTCATACTGACAAAATAACTGTGAATTACTAATTATCAATACCAAGATGGAAACTGTATTCAGCAAAGGGAATAATTTCAACTTACCAAAGATAGATTCGTTGATGGGGGCAAACTATTTTGCAAGAAACAACGATTTTTGTGCTTCGGAATTCAGGAACGTGAAAACACCTTTGTAATTACATTTTTACGTTTAATACTATTTATCTCTAAACTAATAGTTTAATAACAGCAAGTAATAAGATTTTGTAACTTTTATATCTATTTATCGTGTTACGAACTTCGTATAAATCATTGTTACAAAATTAGGTAATGTAAATAAAAAATAGTTCGTAATAGTTTGTTTGATTGATTGTTTCAGATCTTCAAGAGAATCTTATAGCGATGATGCTATTGGATATGTCCAAGTAAAAAGATACCTAAATTTGTGTACAATTAAGTGTCGTGTATGTCCTGAACACAAGTTCGGACTAAACCATATGCAGTCACTGTTATTGTGTCATTTACGGAGACAGCAGCGCCCTTCTTGAACTGGCACTCATATTCAAAAATATCCTTATCGCACTCTCGTTAGTAGCGCCTGATGGTATTTTCACAAACTTGTGAAGTACCAAATGTTTACTCACTTGTAGAGCACTCGTTGCAGGCCGCTCATGTCACACTTGATGATGTACTCCACCTTGTCGGGCAGCTGGCTCTCTACCTCCTTCTTCAGCCGCCGCAGGAGGAACGGCCGCAACACTTTGTGCAGACGACGGATGATAAGGATGGTTTCTTCCTCGTTTAACTCCACCTGTGCACATACTTCTTCATCATCATCATAATCAAGTGCCGGCCAAAGCGCACCTCCACCAGGGACAGCATAAAAGGGAACAACCACAAGCAGAAACTGCATTACTAGATAAGAGTGTGACACGCATCCAAGCGTCGACGAACGGCGTGCTAAAGTAAAAATTGGCGCTTCAAGTGAAACTTTTAAAATCATTAATAAAAAAACAGTCTTTCCTCGACGGGGAACCAAACCTGAGCCACCCGCGAAGACGGCGAGCTTTCTACCACTGCTACTTAACCACCGATTATAATTAATATGGCCTGATTTTTTATAACAATTTAATATGTAATGCGATATGCTAAAGATGAACGATAAAATATGTGGCGATGTAATAATATTATCACTTTTAAAACTTCGAAAAATAAACAGAAAGATTAACATTCTCTCCGGTGGTAGCGAAGGGCGCGTTAAAGCACCGCTAGAAGGTGAATATAGAATTTAATATAGAAGGCAGGAGGAAGTTGTTCAGTTCAGGCAGTTTGTTCTGCAGCGCAGCGGTGTACTAAAGCAAAACTTCGAAAAATAATAAAAAAGGCAAACCTTCTCTCCGGTAGTGGCGAAGGGCGCGTTAAACCACTGCTCGAAGGTGGAGCAGCTCTTGAATATGGAAGGCAGCAGGAAGTTAAGAAGCGCCCACAGTTCAGGAAGTTTGTTCTGCAGCGGAGTGCCCGTCAACAGTAGCCGGTGCGGCGCCACGTAATGAGTGTTCAGCACCTGCGTCAGCTTGCAGTGGTGGTTCTTCATGCGGTGCCCTTCGTCGATTATCATGTACTTCCATTGCACCTGCGTACAACGCGTTCTAACTGTTATAATGACACTTAAATACTCCTGCAGATTTATGCCTACCACCTCCATTCCATCGGCGTTCCTTTTATACGTTTAACTCCTAATAAATCTTACAGTTTTATCCCTACCACTAAGATTTTAACTTATAGTGCTCCAACAAATAACTGCACAATTTCTTTAAGGATTCCTTAACCTTTACTTTATAAATTAAATAATCGAATAGCTCTCATCTCTATCATAAAAAAAAATGACACTCAAGGAGCAAGAATTGAGCCCTGTAGGCCTCCTTTTGTAAAAACCAAAGATACCCGCGAAGCCAACCGCGGGTGCCACAAACGACCGCTTATCTGGCGGACCTAAATCGCGCCGTGTATGCGTTTTACGTACAATTCCCATTCTACTCGAGTCAACCGCGACGGGTAAAAATCATTTCGTGATTTGAGCCTTTTGCGTTAGCAGTTGCCGAGCGGCATTGCTTTTTCACACAAGCAGCTGTGATAATCACCGCTATTTAGTAATCCACTGTTGCTTTATTATAACGCTACTAAGATACTTGTTCTGAAAAGCATCGATGGATATGAAATTTTTTGTCTTTAGTTACACACTGAAAATGTCAAACAGCTATGAAAATTTTAAAATTTATAATTACTTTCTGGTAAAATTTTCTCAATATATAAATCAAACAGATTAATGCCTGAAATAAAACTATGACTCCTATGTCAAAGCTGGGGGTGAGTTGCGTAACGGTATTGCTATGGCTATCGCTTACGATTTCATTTTGTTAGTTAGGCGCTTGGTCCCCTGTTGGTTTTCCTTTAAATAAAGCATACCTTAGCCAGCACCGCCTTGTCCTTGATGACGTATTCGTACGTGGTTAGTAGCACGTTGAACTTGGTGGAGCGCATCTGCGCCTGCACGAGGCGGCGCGACACCGGCGACCCCTTGTACGACACCACCACCACCGTCGGCGCCCACTTCTCGAACTCCAGCACCCAGTTCGATAATGTACTGCGCACGTCATAACATAACATAAGATTATTACATATTGCACGCTTACGGAATATTAACCATTAAAACTCCATAAATATTATTTACTAATGTTATGGAGTTACCGTTGTTGTGAAAAGAAAATAACAAGTCCAGTAGTCTATAAATTCTGTTATGTAAGGAACAAATCTATTTTAACAGTCGGGACCCAATATTGAAAAAATTGATCAATTCTTGAATAACTAATGGGTCCCGACTTAAGAAGAAGCTTTGTTCCTTCCTTACTTAACAGAATTATTATAAACTACTGGACTTGTTATTTTCTTTTCAGTTTTTATTTGAAGTAATATTTAAGCTGTCGAGTTTTTTTATTTATCTTTATATTTTACTATTTTTACTTTTCTTCAATCTTATCTGAAATGAAGTATAGATATCTGTGTACCTTGAGACCGAATACCGGAAAACACTAAGAACATTAATAAAGGTTGCGGAAAGCCACTGGATGCGAATAATGCAGGACCGATCGATGTCCGGGCGGCGGCGTAGTTGATTTCCAGGAAGGACCACCGCCGCCACCGCTGGCAAGGAGGGCACATCCCGAAGTTTTAGAGGGTAAGGGCCCCCCATCCAGAGCGGCCGTTGAGCCAGCCCTAGGGTTGGCTAAGTGGGTGGGCGGGAGGCGGGGGGAGGAGTCCCACATAACCCCGACGCCTACCCAGCGACGGTACATTCCCCACGACAACGGCTAACTAGAGACGAGGTCCGAGTCTCAGAGGCGCCCTCTAGTTGAGCCGATCCCCTCAGGTTCAAGTGGTCTAGAGGCTCCAGGCGGAAAAGAGACTCCCCCCGCAAGGAGATGCCATCCGCCTGGAATACCTCTAGAGGCACTCGCCAATTCTCGGCTTGAAGTCCTCTTAGTATTTCGCCGTTCCTAAACGCTGACGCTGTATACACTAAAAAAAGTGATATGCGTAACGGGCGGGCATCTCTCCGGGTCAAAAAAAAGGACCGATTTATGTGGATATTCTTGGGCGGGATCTGGGGCCTACGGGATTGCTAGGGCTATAGCTTATGATTTCATTTTGTTATTTCTGATCGCCGAAGGTTTTCAAATGCCCCGCACCCTTTTTTTTCTTTTGCATTGGCAATAACAATATTAAAGAAAATGAGCGTGAGGTATTTGAAAACCTTCGGCGGTCAGAAATAACAAAATGAAATCATTAGCTATAACTATAGCCATAGCAATCCCGATAGGCGGTAGAACCCCTGCTCACCAGTAGGCGTCGTAAATGATGATGCTTACCTCAGTGGCACAATAATGAGAAAAGGTCCATTTACTTTCTTCTTCTCCATAAGGTAAGTAACCAACGCAATCGTCTGGATGGTCTTGCCGAGACCCATCTCATCAGCCAGAATGCCGTTTAGATTATTATTGAACAATGATACCAGCCATTCCAGACCCTAAAATAAAATATCACGTTAATTTTGTTCTATGCACTAATTAATTAAGTTTTTGTATATGTTTTGCATAATTACCTTAATTTGATATTCTTTCAATTTTCCGTTAACGAGAATGCTGGCTTGTTCTGTAACAGATTCGTGAACCGTGTGGGCAATGCTGGAACAGAAACACATGGATCGTCGTTTATCCAAACTTTCAACTCAATTACGACAGGTTTAATTTAGCATACCTGAGAAAAAGTCAATTGTTACCTGTAATATGTCTGTTCTTCCGTTTTGTATTCGTCGTCTTCTACCTTGGCCTTCTTGATCATATCACGGGCCTTCTCCTCTTCCGTCTTCTCTCTCTCTCTTTCTTCTCTCTGCTTCTCCCTTCTTTCTCTCCTCTCTGTGGCAAATTATATGGTACAGTCAAAAGCAAAAGATCCGCAAATGGACATACACCAAACGTGATCATTCAAGTTAGGCACAGAATGAGAAAAACAATTGGAGTTATTTTCATAGGAAAGGTTTATATTTGATCTTTCAAGTTGAGTGTATGATAGAACCGACTAAAAACTAAGGAGAAAAAAGTAGATTACCATCGTCGTCTTGGCTGTCATCTCCAGAGTCTTCAGAATCAGACAGCACTTCCCACCCAGGGTGTGTTTCCATCCAATCTTTCAGTTGAGACAGCAAAGGCGCATCTTCGCCCTTCAGAATCTACAACAATTATATATTTAATTAAAGTAAATATCAAGTTTTTATAGAGATATTTATAGATTTGGAATTTAATAAAAATATTCTTTGTTATGACATTTTATACCTCCCCTGTTTTCGGATCCATCACGCTAACGCGAGAATCGGATGTCTGAGAGCTGTCATCCAAAGCGTCGATCTCGCCACCTTCTAGAAGCTTCTTTTTTCTGGATTTCTAAGCAGACAAATGTTATATATTAGTACTTAAACAGTTAAGAGTTTAAAAAAATATAGTTATATAAATATCCTAAACTACATAATAGCATGGTTAGACCGGGAGATCTTAAATATTCGCGCCTTAAAAAGCAGCAATGAGTTTATCTCTAAACATTTGTTTTATTAAGTTTTAGACTTCTGTTTTGTAATGAGTTTTATTTATTTATAATAACAAAATCAGTATCTAATTTTCATCTACATTGTCACTACTAGTATTAAGATTAACCGAGAAGATTACTTAAAAACAAAAATGGTTTACGAACGATAATTTTACGTGATAAAATGTTGTTCATTGTATTCCTCGGGGCAGTTTTGTGGGGCTTTTTGTGCCAATTCGTTTGAGCCCAACACGCCTCTAAAGCTCTATGAGGGCCCGAGTTAGGCTCCGAGGGGATGAAGGGGCTCTCCCCTTCATCCCCTCTGGGTAAGAGGGGATCGAAGATAGACCTCGACCTCACCTCACATTAACTAACGTGACATGACATCATATAACGTGACTCGCGATGACCTAAGCGGTGTTCAGCAGAAAGCGGCCGGCGGGCATTTTGGTATCAAACAAAATCGAACTTAAGCTCGGGTTCATAGAACATAATTTTGCTTGCTCAAAAAATGCCCGCTGGTCGTTTTCTGCTTAACAACGCTCACATGACGTCACACTTTCGTGCGTGACCCCGGTTTTCAGCGATTTATATGCATAGAGGTATAAGAGCCCCACTCTTACTCTCTCTACTCTAAGGCGGCTCTAAAAGTGTCCGTCTAGTAGAAAGAGAAAGAAGATGAGAGACCGCTAACTATCTCTCTCTCTTGTGACGCATGGCATCCAATGGCATCACATCGAAATAGTAAGATGCTTACGGTTGCCAATGCGCATGCGCCATTAGGGAGGGAAAGCTAGCGGTCTCCCATCTTCTTTCGCTTTCTATTAGAGGGACGCTTCCACTTGTAGTAGAGTCTATATCCCCCTACTCTATTCTTATACCTGATGTTTATATGACGTTATCACGTCAAAAAAATAAAGCTTACTCTCTTCCTGCGTTCTTCTTCTTGTTGCTTCTTGCGTTGCTCCTGCTTGTGTTGTTTCACCATCTCCGTGAGACTGGCGATGTACTCGTCCGTCTGGGACAGCAGGAACGCCAGCCGCTTGTCTTTCTTTTGGTCGATCAGTTTGCGGTAACCTTCTTCGTCTTCCGCCATCAAGCTGGCGAATGTAAAAACTCCGTCAGAAAAAAGCGACAAGTAAAATAATAAAAAAAAAATACATACGTTTCTAATACGCGAACTAGAGAAAACATTGTAAGGCTTGTGTTACTGGAGTAACGGATAGAAACACAAATAATAATACATAATTATATTAGAACATTGTTTTCAGGAAATGTAATAAACCGTCATGACTAAGGTAAAAATGCTCGAATTCATCATAAAAATATTTGCCACTCCAGGATTCGAACCCAGGACATCTAAATAGACTACACCTGTAAATCGCGTACATACCACGCACACGACGGAGGTCGTCAAAATTACAAAAAAAACTCATAACGTCTATGTCCACTCACCGCCTCATACGTTCCTTCTCTATACGCTCCTGCTCTTTCTTCTGTTCGCGTTCGGCGTTTGCATGATAGTTCATAATAGACTTATTCATACGCGATAACTTTGCCAAGTTATTCCGATGGTATTCTTTGAAATCCTTAGCTGTGGAAAATCGACGCAAGTTTAAAAAATATATTCTTTAATAAAATTATCTAACTATTCAAAGTACGAAAGCATTATGTTTTTTTTTATCAAAGTAGATAAAGTCTAGCATTACCATGTTGCAATACAGTTTGGAGGAATTCCTGGTGTTTCTGGCGTCGTTTTCTTTCGGCTTCGAGTTTCTGCTGCTTTTCTAACTTCTCTGTCGCACGCGCTTCACGCAATCCTTGCCGCTTAGTGCGTTTATACGCCTTGATGTTGACAGCCGTTTCCAAGGTGGTGTCCCTACGAACTTGTCCTAAAATCTAAAACAAAACAGGTAATACACAGAATAAAATATGTATGTTTCACATTAAATGAATAAAAAGAAAGTACCAGCTTTCTACTAACCTCAGCCCGCAATTGTTTTTGGAAATTAAGAACGCGGAGGGCTCTTAGTTCTATTTGAGCTTGCAATCTCAAATCGTCAGCAATGTTTGCCGGTAGATTAGATAGAACTTCAATACGATGAGCTATCCGTGCTGCAATCCTAGAAATTTGTAAAAAATAATTGCATTAATTTTGATGAAACTTTTTTATAATAGCTGTAAACTATCATGGCCACTAACATTGTAGTAATTTATTTTATTTACGGTTATTTGCATTAGCAAAACAGAGCAAACAACAGCGTGCCGAATAAGGGGACAAATAGATGCAATCAAGTACAACGATACGTATGCAGAAATCTGCCATCGCGAAACATTTGATTGATTCTGGTCCTAACTACTGGATCGAGTTCCATAACCCACAGATATCTTCACAGAATTTCATTACATAGATTGGTCAGGAAATCCATTGTAATAACAAAACAAGAATTTCTATAGTGAGGACGATATTGAATTGTAGTGTCTGGAATCCAGTGGTTCGAGTGCAACAACCAAAATAATAAAAAAGTGACCTATCGCGAGTGTTGTGTATCGAGAACAGTTTCGAGAGAATAGTGAGTGGTACGGGTATCGCACACAATAAAAGACTTCGTCGGAAGGTAGACCGATAGGTATGTCTGCTAATAACATAGTACCCGCAATTACTTCAAAAAAACCAAGGAACATGGTAGCATTCCAGTAAATAACATAAATTACTTTAAAATTTTATAAAATTCAGCAATGCCTGAAAACTAAACCCGAATTTACACGGCGAAATTTGTGTCATGTACAATGAAACAAATTTCGTAATAATAATAATTTATTGGCACCAAAAAAATTTTTTTTGTACTCAAACTTTTTTATAGTCTTACAATAATAAAACAATCAACCGACAGCACAAAAATACATCTGCACCTGAACTAGGAGACCTGTATCTCAGGTGCAGCGCTCTTTTTAAAAAATACAAGCTGTTTTATATTCTCATCGCATACAGACATATTTTCCAGAGAAGTAACAAAATAATAAATGTTAAGTGTAGCGAGTGAAACCTCTCATGGTGAGTATAATGAAACTGAGTGTGTGTGTGTGGAGAGGTTGTGTAAAATTAGTATATTTATTAGCAGAAATGGAATCAAAAACAGTAAATCTACACTGTCTTCAAAAATAATTTAGTATCGTTATAACTTAAAGTTTTAAGCCATTCAACTGTTGAATACTTGACACTGTAGAAAGGGAGATGATAAATTGATTTTATTTTATTTAATTTAAATGTGACTAGATAATCGTTGCATGCATTGTACTTGACGGCTTGAAATTGTTGATGAAATGAATGTCACGGAACTACTTACATGGCACTAATTGGCATAATGTAAAATCGGCTTAAAGTAATGTTGCTTACCTATTTTCTCTCTCATTCCAGACTTGTAGAGGGTCAATTCCAACTGGCTTCGGTATACTTGTAACGCGATTTTGTTTAGCACCAGGCATCGGAATTCCAGGCTGTAAACAAAAGATATCGTAAATTCCAAGAAAATAAGCGGATCGTAAGAAATCTTCGTTGTACATATAAACTTTAATTGGACACTTTTTCAGCCAATCTATATTAATTTACTTATTGATAGTACCAAATAATGGTACTCCAGGTCTATTAGTTTCATTGTTAACTAGCGGAGACCCGCGACTTCAATCGCGTAAACTTTAGTTTTCTGAAAATGCCTTAGGGAACAAAGTATCCTATATGTCAATCCAGGTAATAAACTATATGTGTGCCAAATTTCATCCAACTCCGTTCTGCAGTTATTGCATGATTGAGTAACAAACATTCTAATTATTTTCCACGAAATTATTGTGTTTTGGTTTCTCTCCATTAAAACTTTCCGTGTGCCTTAAGAAACATGAAAACAAAATTAGCACAAATCGGCCCAGCCATTCTCGAGTTTTGCGCTTAGCAATTCATTTTTATTTATATAGATTATAAACGTTTGTAAATAAATGTTTTCCACCAAAATAAATAAATCATACCTGTTGTTGGTTAGGCATTCCTGTTGCACCGGGTCCTGGTGGTCGTAGGGGGCCACTTCCTCGTATAGGCGGTGCTACTCCCATTGGCTGTGTAAGGAAAATTTATAGGTCAGTCAGCATATAGTAGCCTTTAGCAAACAAGCGTTGTGTATTAAAGCTAGATCAATTTAACAATGCATATGAAGTGGAAAAACAGCCGCGAGCTGACGCACCTAAGTATCGCTACAAAGCAACGAAAGTCAATATCAAATGAAGGGAATGTGATAATGCTGGCGGGCACATTTAACTGAAAACAGCAGGAAATCGCGATTACTTGGCGCAGAAAAAGCACGTAACCACTGCTACAAGATGAGGACGTCAAGTGAGGAGCTGGCGAACAAAACGGTATAATTAGGTTAGCATATGGTCAAAATTCTTTTTTTATAGTCCAGAGGTTTTGGACCCGCTGAATTTGAATCTTAGTCAAAACCGCCTAATAAAGCAGTGTTAAAATTACTAAATTAAAAACCACGCCAAAAGCTCACTGTAGGTTTGTCATTGATTTTTTTACTGCTCCTGAAAATATTAATTATATGTAACTATACCGTTTTGTTCGCCAGGTTCTCAAATGTTATTCTAGTTACCGGATTGACTAGGGGCGGTGTAGGCTGCGTCGGCGGCGCCATCTGTCCAGTCATGGGTAGTGGCTGGGGCGGAGCCCCCCCACCGCCGCGCGCCGCGTCGCCGGCCGCGCCGCCACCCGCCTTTCCCGCGCCCGACGAGCCCTGCGGCCCTTGCCCCTCGCCATACGGGGGCTGCGCGGGCGGCGTGGGACACTCCGGCGGCGTCTCACTGGTGCGTTTCCCGCTCGCCATTATAGCCATCTGCTGCGATATCGGCTGGTTGCGAGCGAGATTTCGGTAAGCCGAAATTTGTGCTCTGAAATTAAAATTCATTTAAATATTCAGAACCCGTTTGAATGTACTTCACAAATTGTGGACATTTATAATTCTAAGTATTTCAATATAACGAATACGAAAAATACCTACCTCAATTGACATAGCTGATTGTTCGAGAAGAGTCCTTTGCTGGGGTCTTGAGCATTGCTAGATCTCGCTCTCAGGGCGAGCAATTGAGAATATCGCGGATCCTCCTGTAACCCTTTCTCTTCCATAGAATCTATGGTCCTCTGGAGGGCGTTAAGATTGTCTGGGCCAGGCGCAGGGAGAGATCCCTGCATAGGTGAGGAGGCGGGCGGCGCTCCATTAGCAGAGCTTGCTGATGGCGGGGGCTGGCCGTGGGGAGGCGTCTGAGCTGCGGGTGGGTGTGGGAGTCCACCGGGCTGACCCTGTTGGGGCACGTTCTGGGGCGCGGGGGGAGCGGGCGCCCCGGGCGCGGGTGGCGCGTGCCCATAGGCCGGACCGGGCGGGTGCGGCGGCGGGCCCTGACCCGGCATCATGGGATGGTGCGGAGGCATGTGCCCGGGCCCGCCCGGGGGCATTCCTTGGGGATGAACGCCATGCGGAGGACCCTGCAGCGGCAAAGAACCGCCACCAGGAGGACCCTGAGGTCCGTTGCCAGGTGGAGGCGGACCACCACCCATCGATAGGGGACCCTGTTTAGGACAATTTCACAATTGATTAAATATCACCAATGACAAAGAAGCATAAAATGATTTGAATTTTGAAATCTTCAGCTAGTATAAACAAGGTCGCTTCCGTTCTCAATGTAGGTACGCTTAGATTTTTATAACTGCGCAACGTATTTTAATGCAGTTTTTAGCAATAGATGTTTATGTTTATGTTTATGTTTATTTTTATTGTTTATCTGGATATAAATTGCATAACTATTATGCATTAAGCCTAAATCAAAATATATTGCACATATTATGTATGCATAGACGTTCATACTTTATTCTATGACTTCGATCGTCTAGTGTCATATTATTGTGTGGTCAAATACTTTTGAACTAGATGAAGACATTGACGTTCGTACCTTATACTACGAATTCAATAGTCCTGGTCACCAACATCGAAAAAAATATATTTCTAAATCGAACTTTGAATCAGATCCAAGTTTTGAAATTTCAGATGTCCAGTGGTCGTCGTGAGGAAGGGGGGGTTTGGTCAGTCCCCTAAAAAAAATTAAAAAAAAAAACTTGTGGTCGACACAGGGTCCACCTACTTTTTTTTCTTAATCCGAATTTGATATCAAACACCCAGGATTCGCACGAGTTTCTCATAGCCCCATTGATGTTGACATATTGTTTATCAAACATGTCAGCATATATACATTTCGATAGATTAGTTTTTACGCTATTTTTAATAGAAAGTGTCTATTTGGATAATACTCCAAATTATGATTTTTTCCAAGTTGTTGCTTTCAATAGTGTCGAAAGGTCTTTACTTTATAAAATACATGTAGACAATTATTCTGTTATATTCTTGAATGGTGTTACAAATGAAGCCGCAATGCCTATGCAAATAATAGTCGAAGACTATGCTAGTGATCTTTTTCAAGATGCACTCAGGGCGTATGGAGTAGAGTACAGTCATAGTAACCTAGAACCAAGGTACAAATTTATCAACGACATTTTATCTGAAAGAAAAGATTACAAAATTCTTGCTAATCAGTCATAATTTCGTAATCTCTTGTCTTTATGTCGCAATAAAAAATAATGGTTAGTATAACCATACAAACCCTACCAAAAAAGGTTTATTGGTTAAAACTAACCATTATTTTGAACGCGATTTTAATAATTATACAAACATTCACAGACACAAAGAGCAGTCCCCATATGAAGAATCTTTAAATTACAACAGCACAACATTTTGGGATTGGACAACAATAAATTCATGGATTTCTAAAATGCAGCAGAAGTATCCACTATTGAAGAAACAGATTCTGGCATTGACTTATGAAGGCAGAGAAGTCTTTACTCTATCCTTTACAAAAAATAAAAAAAATCCTATCATAGTTATAGTAGGCGGAGAGCAAGGAAAGGATCGGAATTCAGTAGCAATAATTATTGCTCTTTTACATGAGTTATTAGAAGATAATATCTTCTATGAGTTATTAGATTATCTTAGTTTTTATTTTATACCTATAATGAATCCAGATGGTTATGTTTACAGCATGGAAAAGGTAAGCCCATTCAAGAACTATTTTAAATAGGTAGATTTGTTAGTTATGAAAATGCAAATCCAAATAAAATAATTAATGATATTTGAAACATCACCAAGTACGTAATAAGTACTGACTAAATGAAAACAATGCATAATATAGTGTAATGTATGTTAAGGTTTAGTAATTTTACATATAAAATGTGTAGAGTAACTAGATAAGTCACCCCAATCTCAGTTCATACTGTTTCAATGTGGAAGACAATGAAAATTGCAACTCAAGCCACAGCTCAGGGTGTCGATTCTGCTAAGTTTAAGTAATAATTATGTGTCAATGGTGTTTCAGTAGTTTTGATTTTTGAGAGAGTTATCGTTATTAAAACTAAAATCTCAAAAGTATTTTGTATTTAATTAAACTATGTAGGTAGATACAACCTATAAAATTTTAAAAAAATACCTTGTACACAACAAAAGGCAGATGAGCGCACTGTACACGCAATGCGTGCCACCAAAGCAATTTCAAAGTCAAAAGTAATGTTTTTTTTAATTTGTGAACAGTTTTTACGATGTATAAACAAGGCGGCACAGTTTTGATAAAAAACTTAATATTCACGGGACGTATTCAGAACACGATGCGTTGTTCTGTACTGACGCGAATTGATAGTCGTTTTTGATTTCATATTTGCTATGGTGCCACATTGCGTGTTTCGTGCAAAAATATTTTTAACAATCGGCCATGATTTTTGGTCGCGATAACATTAGGAAATACAGCTATAAAAAATGCCATAATTTTTTTGTGAACAGTTAACGCTAGAAAATCTTGGAAATAATATATGATCGATTTCCAGTCTGAATTTTGGGCAAAAAATAGGAGAGTTTTCTTCCCTAAACGAAAATGTGACTGGACACTTAATGACGAAGACAATGTCGCTATTGGGGTTAATATGGAACGAAATTGGTACTATGAAAATGAGTTGAACAGTAAGTCATCAGCTAAAATACCAGACTTTAATTGTGAATCAGGTGACATTAATACTGTATGCTAATTTTCTTGATTGATTAATACCGCAATCATTACTTCCTGAAAATCCGATTTTGACATTTGTCACTTTATTAGTGTCTAAATTATATACCTTGTAGGGTTGGCAAGAGCAAAACAGCATGAGGTAGATTAATATGGCATAAATATCACTCCTATAGGATCCCGTTAAAGGCAGAGGAGTTTTCTCACAGCAGTCAAGTCAGTCATCCATCATAGATAAATAATTGGTCTCCCTGAAGTCGACCGAAGGGAGACCAATCATTTATCTAAGTCAGTCATGTATGTTTAAAATTTAATTTATTTTTTCAAGCGTTGATCCTGGCTACATCTGCATTCGTTACCACTCACTAATACACACTATGCGTGCGATGTGATCCTGATAATAGGAATTATGAATATAGTGCAAATTTTAAATACGCTTCTGCTTATCCTAGACTTCAACATTTATTTCAGCCCAAGAAGATATATGTAATACAGTGTATCTGGGCCATAAATCATTATCAGAAAAGGAAACCCATGGCCTAGCCAGTTTTTTAAATGATCATGCTGCTAAATTAATGGGATATATCAATGTTATAGGCTATGGTAATAGATTAATCACATTGCCCTATGCAAATACACTGCAACAATCTATAAATCATGGTATTATGGTAAATTTTACATTTATTTTGTACTAATACACCTCATCTCACGAAATCCATACTAATATTTTAAATACACGAATAAATCTGTCTGTCGCCTGTCTGTGTGTCTTCGCTTAAACTAGTAAATCGATTATGTAGAATATTAACTTCAGCATATTGCTTAACGTTCCATAGTAATTCAAACAAAGTAACCCAGGAGAAACGATACAATAAAGTGTTCCTGCTTTAATGTATTGTTTCATTAATAAGTCATAGAACTCAAGCAATTAATCATATAATTCATTTAGATTATCAAATAATATAATTGGTAACCTAACCTATGTAAAATAAAAAAGACAACTTCATTTTTTTACCATTTTGAAAAAAATATGAAAAAATCTTAAGACACTGGCTTTATTTCTAAATTTATTTAATTCTTTACTCATGAAAAGGGCGAGCTTCAGCTACTTGACGGGTCACAAGTGGTGAATAGAGATACATTGTTAAGTATGTAGAATAGCTGCGAATAAGGGGAAACATCCCCCAAATAAGCAGTCCCGGATCAAGGCGGCAAGGCACGGACGGTGTGGCGGGATGATTATTGGCATGAACATCTCCATAGAAAAATCACAATACCTAATGATGGCTCTGCGACATGGAGAGTTTGCATCGGCATTAAATGAGTGCATTGCCCTAGCAGCAGACGAAGTATTCTGCTTGCGTTCTATAAGGGGACTTCAGAAGGAAGCACTCGGCTGTGGAAGTGAATATCTTCGAGCGGTGATGGAATCCGTCGGACCCGGTCGTTGAACTGCGATCACCATTGGTGATTATTGGCTAAACACCTCTCTTTAGCTATGATAGACAAAAACCAAAAATAGACCCTGAGTTTCCAGCACTCTGTCACTCCCTGGCTTCAGCAGCAGCTAGGTGACACGGAGCAGGGGTGCGACATGGCAACATCCTAACAGAGTTCATAAAAATGAATATGACTACATAATCAGTAATCGCAAAAACGCTGTGCAAGATGTGCTCGGTGCTCAACAACTTCTATATTTGCAGTGATCACCGCTTAGTTATAGTAACTCTCAACATTAATACCAGGGCATGGAGACGGAAACTCACCAACCGTCATATCCCACAGCACATTGTTCCTGATCTAATTAGAGCTAAGGCCGAAGGGTACAAACAGTACATCAGCAATCGCCTCAATGAACATATAACATCTATATTGAATGAAGCACAAAGAGAGATCATGCCTGGCGATGTCGATCTCATACCTAAAAAACTAACAGCAGAAACACTTAAGCTCATGGAAAAACGTCACCAAATGATAATGGAAAATAAATCAGACACTCCGGATTACCATCGTCTCCACAAAGAGATTCGCCAAAATACCAAGAAGACAAAATCACTACTGCCATACAGTTGAATACTAGTAGATGTATTTTGCGATCTCAGTTAGCTAATAGGCGAAAGGAGATTTTCCAACTAGTCGACGAGAAGGGGACGTGGTCACTAATAGAGAGTATCTGTTAGAAGTACGAGGAAATATTATGAGAATTTGTACAAAAGTAAGACACCAAATACCGCTATGCAACTAGGTGGATAGGTGTCAGGGCTCCTATCTCCAATGTTGGCTCAAAAGCAATCCCAGACGTTACTGAGGAGGAAATACATTTTGCTGTTGGTCAGATCAAAAACAGAAGGTAACCGGGACATGACATCATTCCTTAAATGCTGAAGCTGGCGCCTGATAGAGCCTGGCAAGCGTTGCTTTTTACAAACTGCATATTATACAGCAAGGTCCTGAATGACTGGCACACGATTATTGTCCTCTTTATAAAAAAGGGAGATATTCGGAGACTGGATAAAAATATCGTCCCATTAGTCTTTTGTCGCACATTTGCACATTTTGTTCAGTGTCATCCTAAACAGACTGAGGAAAAAGCTAGATGCATACCAACCTAGAGGACAGGCTGGTTTCCGAGCAGGATACGGAACCAACGACCACCTACAAACCCTGAAGACTGTAATCGAATAATGCCACGAATGCCGAAAGCTTCATCTATTATGAGAAAACATTCGACTCAGTGGAAAAAGCATTGGCGGACAATAGAGTCGATGAAAGGAAAATTCAACTCATTAAGCACCTTCAGCTATCCGGAACATCATAGATTCGCCTTCGAAAGTTAACAAATGTGTTTAGGCTGGCGAGAGGAGTCCGCCAGGGTGACACTATATCGCCGAAGTTGTTCAACGCTGTGCTCGAAAACACCTTTAAGAAGCTATATTGGATAACCAAAGGTTATTAATCGAAGGAGGGAAACAACCTGCAATTTGCCGACGATATCACACTAGTCAGCGATAGGATATCGGGTGTGCGAATTTGAGTAATGTCTTTCGTGCTACCGAATACGGGCTAACGACCAAATGTTAATGCACCTTTATCGAATTTATCTTCATCTATACTAGTATTATATAGAGGAAATATTTGATTATTTGTTTGATTGTATTGAAAAGGCTCCGAAACTACTGGACCGATTCGAAAAATTCTTTCGCATTTAGAATTCTACATTATCCTTAATGAACATAGGCTATAGAGTATTTCCAAAAAAATAAGGGTTCCGTATGAAAACTTCGATAATGTAACCCAACGAGTGAAAACAACACCAAAAAATTACCTTTTATCACGTAAGATACGATACTGAAGTTTTATAGAAGACATCAATATCTACAAAAAAGTCCGCGATACCATATGTCTTACTACTACAGTTATGTCACAACTAGAGGTCCCCTGCGGTTTCACGCGGGTTTTTTTTTGAGGAAAAAGGTTATAATGAGTCAAATTTAAAATATGGACATATACTGTCGAGGATATTTTTATAGAACTTTTAAAGAGGAACAATTCTGTGATACATGATTTTTGTCTTATTTTCACCGTTTACCCAGCGCACGCAACGGAAGCTCACAAATGGAATATTTTTACCCGACTGCGCAATGCAAGAGCGCGAAGCGCGACGCTCAGACAGGGTATAGTGTTTAACAGTCTATATATGTATGTATTTTCCTTTATACTAGAGACCAAACGCGTGGAGCGATTTTGATGATTCATACGTCAATGGATTCGTCTTAATCATGCGAGTTCTACTAAAGATATGATATTAATCAAAATTTTATATTGGGACAATTAGGCGCCATATTGTGACAAAGTAAAAAAAAATAAGTGGACGAAATATGTTGTCTAGATTATCAAAAATCATGTTAAGGTTTCTTACACCATTTTGCAATTTGTAAGACTGTTTAGGATTAACAATGATTTCAAGTTGTATATTAACCAATTGCGCTTTTAATTTCAATCTTAAGTTTGTATGGATCTCTGTTACTCTTTCACCTAAAAAATACTGAATGGATTTTAATGAAACTTTACAATAACATGGCTCATACATGATTATTACATATATTTAATAATTTATGTAGGTAGTTATTGTGTGAATTGGCCAAAATAAAACAATAAGTGTGACGTAAGACGGAGAAAAATCTCCCATCTGCGAGACATTTTGGCCTGCACTGCAAAAACAATAAAAGTTACATGAATATAATGTAGAGTGAAAATGTATCTCTTAAATAGTTCTACAAAAAAGTCTGCGACACCATATACAGGGTGGCCGGGGAGTTGACGTTCAAGAGTAAAATTTAGATACTTTATGATGAGGAGTATCCAAATTACCCCCTTGTATGTTCTACGATTTTGCGTAGTTTTCGAGTTATAATTTTTTTAATGTTTTTTTTTCGTATATTTCACCTAACATCCGTTTTCAATTTTTTTCTCATTCTGTTGGACGTTTCTGGTTCAGTTTTTTTGTAATAACTGACTTACATAGTCTAACCTATCACCCTAAAACTTATGGTTTATCTAGGCATTGCAGAATTCACTTAGAATTTGTTCGAAAGTTCAAAATTACGATTTGAACTCAGTACACACAAATTTTCAAAGTATCAAAAAAAATGTAAATGGGGGTATTTGGAGTTCGAAGTGCTTTTAGAAACTTCCTGAGACATTGAACTTTCAAACAAGGCCAAATAAAGAAAGGGTTAATAAGGGTTTATTTTCTGTAACTGACCTTCAAAGTAAATTAAGGCATTTTCAAAGGAATTATTTTATTTTATTTAAATCTTTGACTTTCTATGAGTTATGATGGATTTGGGTAAAACGCTGTTAATTGTGAACAAAATACGTTTATATAAGCAAATTTTCAAAATTTTGCCCTCCCACAGAAATACACAATCTACATCTGCGCAAAAAAATATGTTTTAGATGCCTAAAAGCTTTACGGTTATTCTTTACAGTGGTTTCAGCTTCGCCAATTTTTGCTCTCAGTTCTTCTTCACTCGAAGCTTCTACGGCGAACGCAATTTCTTTAAAGTAGCCCCAGATAAAAAAATCAATAGGGTTGAGGTCAGGCGAGCGTGGTGGCCAGGCAATTGGCCCTCGTTGTCCGATCCACCTGTTGGGGTAGGTCTGGTCTAAATGGCTACGCACTTGTGTCGCGTAATGACATGGCGCCCCATCGTTCTGGAACACCATCGTTCTTCTTAATTCAAGATTTACATCTTCCAGTAATATGGGTAGACTGTCTTCTAAAAAACTTTTGTATGTGTCGCCGTCTAATTTCGATGGCAGTTCAAATGCGCCTATTAATTCGCCATTCAAAACACCAGACCACATGTCAACGCTAAAACGCTGTTATAATGATGATGGTCTGGCGGCATGTGGATTTTCAACGGCCCAAATTTGAAAATTGTGGATATTGAAAACTCCAGTTCGCTCAAATCTTAACTCGTCGGTCCACAAGATTTTATTAAAGTATCCGGGATCTTCTTCCTCTTTCTGCAACATAGTTCTACAGAACTCGACTCTCAATTGATAATCTGAAGGCTGCAACACTTGTACTTTTTGTATGTGGTAGGCGTGAAATAATTCCTCACACAGAATATCCTGTATTGAAGATCTTGGTATGTCAAGGTTACGAGCTAATGCTCTCGTACTTGTACTACTATTGCGTTGCACTTCTTCCAGTACGATTTCCCTGCGTTCCTGATCAACCCTCTGAATGCCTTCACCGCCACGTTGGCCAGGAATGCGGCCTGCCATTAACGTATTGTGAGTATTAATGAACACACGATAGTCAGAGTAATAATCAGGTTGCGCTCCGCCTCGGCGTTGAAGCTGATCCCTGTAGTCTTGCTGCTTCACGACCGTTGCCTTGTGCAACGCCGTAGAAATAATGCATTTCTGCATATTCACTCAGAGTGTAGTGCATCACTAACACTTCCAAGTAACTACAGTACAAATCGTTAAGCACTACGGAATCCAGTAACAAGCAGGGTTCAAACAAGTAAGCAGCGGCGGTATCAGTAGGCAAATAGTGGTCGAGAAAAAACGGCAGAACAAGACGAGTAAGTAAGTAGTAGTAGAATTTAGGTCATTAACAACTGTGTTTTACTCAAATCCATCATAACTGAGAGATAGGCAAAGATTTAAATAAAAGAAAATAATCTTTTTTTTTCCTTGAAAAATGCCTTAATTTACTTTGAAGGTCAGTTGCAGAAAATAAACCCTTATTAACCCTATCTTTATTTGGCCTTGTTTTAATGTTTAATGTTTCAGGAACTTTGAACTCAAAAACCCCCAATTACATTTTTTTTGATACTTTGAAAATTTGTGTGTACTGAGCTCAAATCGTAATTTTGACTTTCGAACAAATTCTAAGTGAATTATGCAATGCCTAGATAAACCATAAGTTTTAGGGTGATAGGTTAGACTATGTTAGTCAGTTATCACAAAAAAACTGAACCAGAAACGTCCAACAGAATGAGAAAAAAATCGAAAACTGATGTTAGGTGAAAATTACGAAAAAAATCATTAAAAAAATTATAACTCGAAAACTACGCAAAATCGTAGAACATTCATGGGGGTGATTTGGATACTCCTCATCATAAAGTATCTAAATTTTACTCTTGAACGTCGACTCCCCGGCCACCCTGTATGTAGTTTTAATGTTAAAGCCATTATCGCTAAAACAGTGAATCAAAATAAAATATTAATTGATATCTATTTCCAAAATGCACATTTTGTATTAACAAATATTTTTATCAAAACAAATACTTTTCTCGCTTTTGATATTTAAAGACGATAAAATTTTCGATTCACATTATGTCATTTCGAAAAATATTTATAAAGTTACAACGATGACAAAGTGATAGCGCGGTGTACTATGCAGGAGTAGACTGCGGGAATAGTGGGAGAAGACATTTAATTTTGGCGTTTTTAAACATAGATAAAACCAAGGAGAAAAAGAAAAAAATGGGCTACCCGCAGTATCTTATCTTATACGAAGTACTTACGATAAAACTGTGATACAGTTCTTTCTTATTAAATGACAAAAAATAAATAATGGGTATTTTAGAATATTGAAATTTAATGAAATACTAAAACTTATACTGTTTTTAAAGTTTATTTTAACGATACTACTCCATGTAACAAAAACGAGTTACTTAATATAATGAGAAATAACCTATTTTTCGCTAGTAGGTACATACTTAATGGATTCCCTGTATTTGTTAATCAGCTCGTAATAATGTTGGTTTGGTTGGTTTTGTAATTATAAACGATATTTCTGCAAAATTAAAAGTAAATAATCCAAAGTTTTATAGGTAAATCCCTTCCACCACTGTACGCATAGCCTATAAGTTTTGCAATATTGTAGCTGAGAACCAAAGTACCATCTATTTCTATAGGGAAATTCATCATAATCGATTTAGCTATTAGGCGCGGAAACGTAAAAAACAAACTCAATTTCACATATATAAAATTATATTATAGGAGTGAACCACCCCAGTATTGCACGGGCGAAATTTATTTTAACAGGATAAAATATGGCTTATTTCACTCGGATATAATGTAATTATAAAGACTTTTTTTACTAGAAAATTTCCTCTAGGAAAAGTTGACAGAGTGAATTTATTTCAAGTCAAAATTTTCTTTGAATTTTTCTTTTAAATTTGAAATCGAGCAGATTAATCAACAATATTGAGATTAATGATTGAAAATATAATAATTAATGTAGCTATCTTATAGTGAATGAATGGTGGAAATTGGTTCGGTAGGTTGACAGTTTATTTGTTAGAAAAGTACAACTCTTGCCTCTTTTATATTTATATTTACTCCTAAACTACTAAAAAGGACATAAACAAAAGATGACTTTTTGAATGAGTACTAGTTAACTATAAAATTTACATACATTACATATATAGGTAAAGACTTGATTTAACTTCACATATTTTTGCGAAAATTGAGACCCATCTTTAACCATGCCCTGCTGGTAAGGTCTCTATATGTCTTAATAAATCAATCGTTTAGACCACTGTAAGGTACTTAATAATTCCCGAGATATTAATTTCTTTACTGAAGTGAAAAGACTGCGGTATATACTGTTTTATAATCCAAATAAAAAAGAAGAAGAAAAACGGGTAAAAATGTAAAAAAGAATATCCTGACTGCTTAAGTATTACTTCAAATAAAAACTGAAAAGAAAAAAACAAGTCCAGTAGTCTATAATTCTGTTAAGTAAGGAACTACATTAACAGTTGGGGCCTATTATAGAAAAATTTTATCCATTCTTGAATATCTAATGGGTCCCGACTGATGAAGTACCTTTGTTCCTTATTTAACAGAATTATGGACTACTGGACTTGTTTTTTTCTTTTCAGTTTTTATTTGAAGTAATATTTATGCAGTCAGGATTTTTATTTTTTAAATTTTTAGCCGAATTTCTATCATTTTTCAAAACTGAGCAGTATTTTCTAAGATTAGCGCGTTCAACAAAAAAAAATGCAGAAATACAAGCATGAGAACAAAAACTATAATCTACACTACAGCTATACACCGAAGCGAAACGAGGGCGGACCACTAGTCGTATATAAACAGTCGAGTACGCCCGTATTCGGGTAGTTTTGCGTTTTGTTACCCAACCGTCTTCCAGCCCGTATTCCAGTATAAATGTTACTTCGGGTGCCCGAATTCGGGCTAACGACCAAATGTAATTGAGCCATAATCATAAAGCATGCAGCAAAACCCGCCAGCATAGAATTTTGTTAAAAGAAAGCTTCCTCATAATTTGCCGCTGCGAGACGTAATGAAGCCTCCGCGAGTTCGGCCGCAAAAATACACGTGTATAATCGCTTTTTTGTAAATGCACTCTTACAACATCATATGTTAGAATTCGAGCAAGCCGCACCCCACCGATCACCCATCGCAATGCGCGACGCCAAAACGTTAATTTATTAGAGAAATAAATTTTTTAACTGTTCTTATAGATGGATATAATACTGTCTGCTTGTGAAAAGGTGCAATACGAGCATAATGCTACATATTTTAATGGACAATCAGCAAGGTTTTTTTGTAAGTACATATTGCATATTAGTTTAGTTACTTGTTGTGATAATAAATCAAACAAAGTATATTATTATTCCAGCCCCCCTAGCATGACTAACAAAACGCGATATGATAAAGTGATTTATCGACATTAACTGTCAAACTACAATGGAGTTTGACAGTTGAGTGTCGATAAATCGCTTGCTCATGCTAGGGGGGCTGGGTCACAAAGGGACTGCATAGTAAATTAACATGTTCAAACAAGATTGTATTTTATACTGCTTCCTATGTTAAATATTATGCATGCAGTGGCAGCCTTTAATATAAGATTAAACATACGCTATCAGTTTTTAGCTTTGATTTTGTATGCAACCCATTATCTATAGGACTGTTGATAATAAGCCTTTAATATATATATTTGAATAAAAAGGAATTGAAAAAAATAATATACATGCTTAATTATCCAAACATTGCACCAAATTGGATAATTTCTTATGTTATCGTCAAGACAAGGTTTGTATAAAAGAATATTTAAAGAAATTTAACAAAAAATATGAAGAACACAACACCGGGTTTCATGGTGTCGCCGACCAGAGAGGTTCCCAGGTTCAAAGCACACACACAGTGCTTACTTTGGGGTAGGCTAATTGGTATGAGTGCTGGAAATATTTATTTATTTGTTTAAATATATAAAAGGAGAAACTCCAGAGATTCAAAATTATATACACTATACATCTATTCTGAGTGATTTGTGCTGCGGTAGCATACAGTTGCATTATGTCACAGGCTAATCGGAGACCACAGTCATTCCTAACTAAAATATGTAAACTTCAATAGTCTATTTCTAAGTCAATTATTAAGGGATTTTAAAAAACAATAATTGAATAGTAATGATCTATATTTTAATACTATTTCATTGGCACAAGAATTAGCAAACCAATGATCAAAAAAATAATAAACCAATAACTATTCTTCTTTTCCAGACAATATTTCAGGTAACAGTGCAGATTGGGTCAAGTTCAAATTAAATGTTCCATTAGTCTACACTGTATACATGAAATATAAAGATGAAAGTATTCCTAACCCTAGGAATATTATACCATTAAGCAAACAACTCAGAACAATATTACAACAAACACTAATAACAAGTAAGGAGTTTTATGGACCCTTGTTTAATAGCTACCAAAATATATTCAATATAAATACTACAGTGTTAATAATAACATCAATTGTTCATTTACTTTTTTACCATATTGAAAAAATCAATCAAAAATAATTACACTATAATTTATTTCAAGTTGTGTATTACTTTGTTATTAAGATGTGTAAGTAAATTATTTTACCTGCCCAGATTGCATGTGTCCAATTTGATGCTGCATATAACCAATAGGGGGTCCTTGTCCTGGCATATTTGGATGAGGTGGATTTCCTGGCATATTTGGATGTCCATTGGGACCTGGTGTGTGGGCAGCTGTGGGAATAGGATGATTTGGGGGTCCTGCCATGTGTGGGCCCACCATGTGTGGAGCCATTTGATGACCACTCGGTGGCATTCCAGGATGCTGCTGAGGTACCACTGGAGGGCCATTTGAATTTTGAGCAATTGGATGTGACGTTGGTCCAGAGGGTGACATGTGACTAGGCATTGGTGGTTGTCCGGGTCCTGTTGAATGAGGCGGAGGCCCATTAACGTGTTGCTGGTTATAAGGGCTATGTGGCGATTGCGGTGGTGCTGGACTTTGAGTCGGTGGGCCCATAGGACTTGGTGCCTGTGGAGGTGGCATTGGACTACTTTGCGGAGATGGACTAGCCATTTCTCAATGTATTGGTACACTATGATAAAAATTGTTAAACACCGACACTGTCGTAATAATAAACTATGCAGTTTGTCCTATGGCGGACAATGCGAATAGGCATTACATTACGTTTATAGAATTTTAGTTCACTATATAGTAAAATATTATCACTCGTATTTTATATTATTTTTCTATTCTATAGCGATCAGATTCCACTACTGTAGTTTATTTTAGAAAAACAAATTCGTAGACCAAGCTGCAGAGACTCGTAGCACAACTACAGACTATTAGGCAATGTTGCCAGAGCCTGCACGGCAAAAGTTGTCAACAGTGTATTACTTTTCTCTATGGTTGTCAATGTTGGCTTGAAATCAAGATAAACACGTGTTTACACAAATACGTGTTGTGTACGAGTATGGCCACAGTGCACGCAGGTTCAGAATCAGATTCAGACTCAGAAAACAAGAGCAAGAAATAAACAGTGTAGTTTAAGCATAGTGGCAGCAGGCAACCTGCTTAAACTACACTGTTTATTTCTCGCGCTTATTTTCTGAGTCTGAACCTGCGTGCACTGTGGCCGTACCCTATGGGTATGGCCACAGTGTACGGTGGTTCAGAATCAGATGAAGACTCAGAAAACAAACGCCAGAAATAAACAGTAATCTGGCATCAATGCTCGCGTCCGCGTCATGTATTATCTGCCTCCACTGCGGCTATCAGCTGCTTTCCTCAAGCTGACATCTCACGAACCTGTTTTCTGAGTCTGAACCAGTGTGCACTGTGGCCGTACCCATAAGCCAAACTTTAAGCTAAGTTTAAGAAATAACATCAGCAAGTTACTGGGCACATAAATCTCACCAATGTTTGATAGTTAGGTATCGAAAGTATAAGTATACAATCACCTATTATATACACCGATCAAACCATATTACCATTTTTACTATTGATTATGATGCCTTAGAAATAGTACCAACTATTCAATATGATTTAATCGATAAAAACAATGCACACCCTAGTATAACCTTCAAATCAATTATAGATACTGAATATGACGACTTTCATCATATATTCACTGATGCGTCTAAGTCCTCTCCGTCTGAGTGTACAGGTGTAGGAGTATTCCACTCTCAGTTTTCTATTGTCCAAAAAACTAAACTTCCTTCGGAGACATCTGTTTTTACCGGAGAATGTACTAGTTTATTAAAGGCTGTTGAATATATCTTTGTTATGAAACTCAGAAATTTTTTAATATTTCGCGATTCAATGAATGCCTGGGCTAGGGCTTGAACCTAAATAAATTCCCTTTCCGTGCTAAATCATATTTTCCTGTAATATTTGAGATAAGGAATTTTCTTAATAAATTCATGAAAATGGGATACATGGTAGAGTTTGCATGGCTCCCGAGTAAGGTTGCCAGGCCATAAAATGCAAAGGCCGGACTGAGCACTATGTAAGGCCTGACATTTTGCCCTAAAAGCCGGACATATTTTTTTATTGCCAAACAATGTTTTTACAGATGGGCTGTTGAAAAAAGTATTTATACGTGAGAATGAGATCGCAGATGGATGCTCTCTTGACCGCTCGGACGCTCGTCCGCCCATCATTGTACGAATCGCCACTCTGACAATAAGCCTGACAAAAGCCGGACAGGCCAAACACGTACATATTTGGCCGGACGCGACCGCAAAAAGCCAAACATGTCCGGCTAAAGCCGGACACCTGGCAAGCCTACTCCCGAGTCACAGTGGAATTCAGGGAAATGAAAAATGTGTGCGTGTACTAGTGTACACACGTAAGAAGTGAAACTTCTTTATGGCCTTATTTTTCGAAAAATGATCTACATGCAACTTTCCAGAAATTGGTTAAATAAAGTTTAAACAAAAGGATTTTATTATCATAGACAATACAAATTACTGCCTATGAAACTGTTATGATTACACGGCTCAGTAATCTAAGGCACATGTTCCACCTCCGACGATGAACGATAAGCGAGTAGAAACTAGAAACGAATTGGCAGTCCTGAGTTAAAATGCACGCGCACGGCTTTTGACAGCCAAGCCAGCTTAACCGAGCGAGTATAGCTGAGCGATTATCGCTGGGCGAGTATCGCTGAGCGAGTATCACTGAGCGAGTATCGCTATGCGAGTTTGGCTGAGCGAGTCTTATCTTTAATAACTATTGTCACTCAGCTACAAACGAGTAGAGAGAGTTCTCGCCGGCGACAGTGTGATCATTCAGCTATCAACTATTAATATAAAAAAAGATGGCGCGTAACGGAAAAATGTGACGTGTAACCGAAAAAATGTGACGGTAAATTTTTGAAGTTATACTTCTTTAGGCGCGTTCTGAAAAATTGTTGAGAGTGAAATTTTAAGATGCGCGCGCATCATGTAACACAAAAAATTAACACCTCATGTGCCGCGCTGCCATTACCGCGTCGCCCGCCGCACCGTACGCATGCGCGGCCACTCGCGGTCCTAGCGCGGGAAACGCGTGCAACAAACATCGGGAAAAGTTACGAGTTTTGAATTTAGAACAGAGACTGTTTTCATATCTATATATATAAAAATGAAACCCGTTTTCCGTTGTCACGACATAACATGAAAACGGCTTGACCGATTTGGCTGTTTTTTTTTTGTAGTTTTCTAATACTCTGTACAAGGTTCTTACGGAAAAAAATATAAAGAAAATCCCAAGGGGATAAAATAAGGAATGAAAGTTTGTATGAAACTTTATCAATTTTAAACCGATCGGGCTGAGACTTTGCATGCAGGTATAAGAAGAATCATAGATGAATGTCATTGTGTATAATACAAGCCTGAGAACAAAAACTGTAGTCTACACTTCAGCTCTACACCGAAGCGAAGCGAGGGCGGGCCGCTAGTTTATAATATTTATCCACATGTTTCTAGTTTGTATATTCGGAATACGTGTTTGAGTTTCATACAAGTGCAAATCACATATGTTCTAATAAATTATATTCAGTAGCGATTTTAATTGAATATTTTGATTATTTATTTATTTTTTCAAATTAAAACTGAACTTTATTGACTGTGTCCTTTTCCAGACTTTTTATTAATTTATTGTAATTAATTATTTGCATGCAATTAAAAACTAATTTTAAACGATGCCAAAGAAGGATAACTTCTCACGTGCCTACATAAGTACACGCACCCATTTTTTTTTCCAACGCCGATAAAGAAGTTTCACTTCAAAAATTCAACCAGTTAGCCAAAGAGGCAGTGCATTGTGGTGACGTGGTTCCTTATAAATGTTATAGCCATGACTTGCTATCTCTAACATTGTGCGATTTGCGAAGTGAATGGCTTACAAGTTGGACAAGTAGTGCACAAATAAAAGGAAATACCATTTTACGATATAGCCTACTATCCCTTTAAAGCCATGATTTCGTAAAGCTAAGCTTGGTAAGACTGCTTCTAGCATATTAACGCGCATGAGACTTGGACATGTTACTACACATCTCTCTAAGCTAATAGAAATTGTCAGCGATCCTGCTTGCGGGTGCGGAATGGACACAGGAGATCTTAACCAAATACTGTTTTCCTGCCATCTATACGATCGATATTCTTTTTTAAATGACCTCATTTCCTTACATTTTTCTTTTCCAACATCCGTAATAACCCTACTCTTCTCTAATAATGTACAGAATTATAAATGTGTAGCATCTTTCATAATTTTAAATAATATAAGAGTGTAATCATCTCTTTATCCGTATTTTATGTATGTATAAATATATAAATTCTGTCACCTGATCCTATCCTCTGAATTCCGATCCAACATGCATCAATTTCCTACTAATGTTTCCCTACCTTTGACACTGGCAATGGACGTGAGAACTTTATTCTAGTGTTGACTACCTCACAGAAGCTTATCGAAAAAGCCAATTCAATACATTTAGTGCCAAACACTCCTAGAAATATTAGAATGTGTCACACCGACATTCTTATGTAAAAAAAAGGAGGATAATAAAACTTAAGGCTAGGCTGTATGGGCATTGTTCCCTTTGCCTTCTCTGAAAAGGGAGAATCTTAAAAAAGAAGAAGAACTGAATGATGGACGCAAACGCAAACTTATAAACATTGCCGGCTCGAAATACCTAATATATTAAGAATTGTTTGGAATTGATGTAAAATTTAATTCTTATTATGGAAGACGAGGAAGAATATAACATAAATGCATGGACATACTTATCTCTATGTGCTGAGCCAACAATTTACGAAGGTCTTCGCTTCGCTAAAGATTTGGTGATAGCAAATTTACTTCTACGAATTATAATCCAAACTATAACTTTACCTCACAATGTTAGACACAGTTTATCCTTGGTCATCGGATCTTTTTTGCTTTATTATAGTATTGGATTGGCCTTTATATGGACTATTGGGCTAACGGCAGTTTCGTATGTTATTATTGTTCTCCTGTCAATGTTTACAAAGAAGTGGAGAGGATTACTCACTTCTGTTACTGTGATTACTTTTTTGTTACTTTGTGAGCTATACATTGTGAATCCTAAAATGTGGCAGCAAATAAGAGGAATTCAGATGGTAGCAGCTATGAAGATTATTTCGATTGCAATTGAACTAGATCGGAACTTGTTCAAACACATGTTAAATCCCGTGGAATTTGGAGGATATTTATTGTGTCCAGCAAATTGTATTTTAGGTCCTTGGATATCTTTCCACAAGTATAGTTACTATTTAGAAGTGAAATTTTTAAATAAGAGGTGGTTAAAAATAATAATTTTCAATCTTTTTCTCTCCATTTGTTTTTTAATTTTATCTAATTGTATTGTACCTTGGTATATTGATGATGACTCATCAAAGTGGTTTGTAGCATATCGTGATGCTCAAGCTTTCAGGATGTCGCATTATTTTGTATCAAGCATGTCAATTGTTTCTATGATAAGTGCTGGATTTGGTCTAACTAATGACTGTCATTCAGAACTGCAAGTAACTAAACCATTTTACATTGAATTACCAAGATCTCTAGTGCAAGTTGTAATATGTTGGAACATACCAATGCACCAATGGTTAAAAAACTATGTTTTCAAATCATGTCAAGTTTATGGCCAGTTTATTGCAATAGTAGCCACATACGCAGTGTCCTCCCTTCTGCATGGTTTGAACTTCCAGTTGTCTGCTGTGTTATTAAGCATCGGCACTTTTTCTTATGTTGAATATAATTTACGTCATAAAATAGCTTCAGCATTAGAAGTGTGTTGTTTAGCAAATCCATGCATCAAACAGTGTGACCATAAACATAAGAAAAATAGTTTAATTGCAGTCTTTTTAAATACTCTGTTTTCACTAGTAACCATTGTTCATCTTGCTTATTTGGGAGTTATGTTTGAAGCATCTTTTACAATACAGGAATCTGGATATTCATATTACCATACGATAAGGAAATGGGAAAATCTTAATTACTTTAGTCATGGTTTTACAGCTTTTATGTATATCATTTATTTGATGATGTGATACTAATACTGATTGGTGATAATTTTATGTACCTAGAAGTTTTGGTCTATTAATGCTTCTTTTGTGATTTATTCAGTATTATTAAAGGAAAATGTAGTGTATGTAATGGTGGCAACTAACCATCTTGCTGCTAGATCAACTATGCTTGATCAGTCAAATAAACTAACAGTGTGTGGGGAGACATTTTTGGAAGAACATGCCACTTGATCAAGCGGAATGATGGTGAGCGACCATCATTAAGCTTGTATTCAACTCATTGATGTAAAATTTGGTTTTAATTTTTAGTTTAATTGATGTAAAATTTTTTTTTTTACATTTTGTATACTGTTATAGGTTTCGTAAAAAGCATTTATTTGTTAATCTGCATTGAAGTGATTAGTAACATCAGCTACAATAATTACTTTTAGTCTTGATGATTTATGTTCTGTAAATAAAACTTTGTGCTATTTATGATACTCCATAATATTAGGCTTAATTTGTAAAGATTTACATATTAGTGTAGATCATCAAACACAAAGAGGGATAACTAATTCGAAACAGATAAAAAATTAAGAGTATAGTTTGAGAAATGTAACAAAATCTCAACATGTAACTTAGGAATTAAAAAATACTAATCAATTAAAATAGGTAAATCAATTATATAAATATTTATTCCGAGTTGAAAACTGAACAGCTAATAGATTAAAAACACATAGCCTTATTTGATAAGATTCAAATCAAGGAGACTATTTGAAAGTAGTATAGTAGTGGATTTCAAAATACTTAAAATTAATAGGTTTTGTAGGATAAGTATAAAAAACCCAGAACAGATTTTCAAATATTTGATTTATGTGAAAGATTTGATTCCTGCTTAACCTACTTTTTTTAACAAAAACAAGGCCAGAAATCTATTGAAATAAGACTTATCTTAAGGCAAAAAAATTATTAGCTCAAGACCTTTTACCGATGAATTTTCAAAACCTCATTGAACAAACAGAATTTTCATTTCAATTAAATTTTGTGTAAATAAATTATTGATATTATAACAATTTACACTTATTAATTATGATAGGTGGATGTGAATGTAATTGAATGTAAGCTTACATATGAATACAACTATTATAAAAGTTAATTTAATTAGGAGTTTCTATGTCTCTACATATCAAGCCTGGAGCCAGTCTGAAAAAAATTTTTTTTGGCAAAGTATGAATAGAGATTAATTCATTTACCTTGGTGTATAGAAACAGATACAAAATGCAAACTTTTAAGTACCCTTTTTACAACTTTAATAAAATAGATCAATAGGGAAAATAACATTTTAATATCTTTTATTTCATGCTTCTTAATATAGTATTTTAATGTTATATACTAGATACATTATCTTAATAAACCTTTTAATAATTCAACAATCCATCAATTTCCCATCAGCTTTATTTAGATAGCTATCACTTATACAGCAAATGATAAAAGGTTTAACTTCTGTCTGCGCTGTCAGAGACATATAAATGTGTTTTAACATATAGGTAGAAATCTTGATTTCAAGAGTCTTTGGAAATTATTTTATTGAATGCATAAACTATAAATAGGTTTACTTAAATCCAATCAACTTTATCCTGGTCCATGTAAAGTGTTCTCTGAATTAAACTCTTATGGGTCCTTATATTAATATTGTAAATACTTTCATCTTTAGTTGGTACTACTTGTATTCTATAGTTCACTTTTTCTAGAACTGGAAACTGATTGCATGGTTCAAAAGCTTCTATTGAATCTTTACTAGAACTAAAATGTTCTGGCCTAGTATAAAGAATTGACAGTTTATGGTCTTTACATACTTTCTGAATTATTTGTAGTATTTTTTTTGTGTAAGTATCCATTTTACATATTTTGTGTGCTTGTTCAGACCAATAGAACGCAGTAATTGTATCAACTATTATCATGGCTATGTTAGAATGTTCCAAAAATACTCTTTCCAAGTTATGAATACTTATGTAAAACTGTGATGCATCATATATCTCTGCTATAAAAATATTACTCAACATTTTCTTCACTAATTCATTTATTTTATTGTCATTACAATTCTGTGTAGTTTTGTTTTCAGAGACATATGTGGAAATTTTATAACTCATACAAGATAAAAGCGAGTCATAGTTGAAGTTTCCATTACAATTAAAATATATGATACTAATTTTCAAATCTCCAAAGCATGACGGAAGTAATGCCTCACAAATGATATCAATAAGCAGGGGATTTATGTTACTCTCACTGTACAGTTCAATAACTTCACCTGGTCTAGGTCCATTTTCGAATAAAACTGGATAAAACTTTTCGATATTTTGTTGCTTAGTTAATCTAGCTAATAACTGCATTCCAGTCTCAATTTTACAGGAAGAAGCCATGATTTTATGTTCATTTGCAATTATAGATAGATTTAATAATATAGATTTGCAAATTATAGTTGTAAACAAAAAATCCACAACACAAACACAGATTACAGAGTTTGTCCATAGATTATAGAGATTAGTTTTAGATAATCTTAGTAATCTGTGATTAGGGATTTTTAGGCTATATTTAGGCTAAATTTTCATTTTTTTTTGGAATTACCGTTCGAAGAATTGTTTTTTCGATGAATTGTGTTCGAAGAATTGTAATTTCGACGAATTGTTTTTTCGATGAATTATTTTTTCGATGAATTGTGTTCGAAGAATTGTAATTCGATGAATTGTTTTCGATGATTTTTCCGGTGAGGGTGATTAGGATGTCTACTAAAGACAAGGAACTTATATTCGACTCTGCTTTTAGGTTGAGTGCGTGATACAAGTGCAAATTTGTTCAATTTAGATAATTTAGTTTTTCTTTGTGTGTTGAGCTACTTTTTGTATTTATTTATTTGTGTGTGTATGTAATAACATATTTATTTCGGTATTTGGTAAGTAATATATATAATTATAATTGGCGCCAAATATGGACGCTGACCCGCTAGATCCTGGAGGCGGCGTTGACCCTGCTTTGCAGTCCCAAGACATCTTTCCTTCTATTCAAAGTCATGATAATTCATCAGCTATCAATAGAAAACGATCGCAAAGCATTTCTAGCACAAACCATAATATACCAGCAAAAATACATCCTCGGCTCAAATTACGGCGTCTGTTCAAACAACATTTATATTGCCAGAGTACGCGGAAAATAAAATCCAATATAATGTCGATGACATTGGACCTTTTATTGTACATATATCTAAAAAAGAGTCAGAACCATCACAGGGCACTGTCCTTCGCCCAATGCATTTTGGTAAATTTCTTTTTACGCACAACATAAAAAATGTAGTTGCAGATGGAGTTAAAAAAGTTGGGAGAAACCGTATCTCGGTACAATTTAAATCTGCATCTGATGCTAATTCTTTTATAGACCACCCTGCTTTGCTTAACAATAATTACCTAGCGTCCATCCCATCTTTCAATGTTTATAGAATGGGCATTATCAGGAATGTTCCAGTAGAGTGGTCCATGGAAGAACTAGTTCAAAATGTACGAGTTCCTGATGGCCATGGGAAAGTTTTTAGAGCGAGGAGATTAAACCGAAAGGTAACTGCTGCAAACTCTGCTCCCACCTGGATCCCTACTCAGACCGTGGTTGTGACTTATATTGGCAAAAAGTTGCCAGATCATGTGTATTGTTATTACACTTCATTACCGGTGGAAATATACAGGCTACCGGTAATCCAGTGTAATAATTGCTGTAGATTCGGACATATAAAGTCTCTGTGCCGTTCCAAACCCCGCTGCTTCGTATGTGGAGAAATGCATGAGGGTGAATCCTACTTAAGTCAGGCTCCCCCCAAGTGCATACTATGCTTTAATACCTCTTTAGTTACTGAACCGAATGACAATTTAATTGAAATGTTATTTCTTCAGTTTTCTACACTTATTAATTATATTAAACGATTTGAAGATATTGAATTACCGAACAACCTCAAGCAAAAACTGACTGAGCTTTCCTTTTTAGGTAATAAAATTCACTCCAATACTCCAATGGAACTGCCGGAGTATTAAATATAAAAAATCTGATATAATTTATATTATTAACTATCATAAGCCAATTATTCTTGCCATTCAGGAGACCTGGCTTAGACCGGGAACCAGATTCTGGATCCCGGGCTATGCATGTCTCCGGGATGATAGAAATGACGGCAAAGGTGGCTCTGCTTTATTTGTATTAAGAAATTATTATTTCCATCCTATTGATCTATCCTCACATAATACTGAAAAGTTTAATATAATTGCAATTCGAGCTATGAACATATCTTTTATATCCCTAATCCTGATTTATCTATATTACTCCAAGTGTTCTCTATTATCAAATCAATTGAAAAACCGTATATCATTCTGGGAGACTTTAATATACACAATGAAGTTTGGGGTTGTCACATTTCTGATTCCCTCTCTTCCACATTCTTAGATTTACTGATGACCTAAATCTCTGCATTTTAAATGACGGCTCTCCAACACGTCGTGTTGCTCCAAATCAGAACCCAAAGAGTGCAGTTGACCTATCTATTTGCTCTGCTAGCTTAGCTTCTAATCTCAACCGGCAAATTCTTACAAACACATATGGGAGTGATCACTACCCCATTTTAGTTTTCTTGCCTGCACCAAGAAAAGAAGCCCCCCATATCACTCCCAGGCAAAAACATATTTTGGCCCGAGCAGACTGGAATAAGTATAGTAGCAGGTTAGATGACAAAATGAAACTCCTCCCATCCCTTCAGGCTCCAGATAATAATGACAACCACTATTCACTTTTCAAGAATACTATGCTCTCAGTGGCTGATGAGTGTATCCCAATCAGGAAATCGCCAACTTGTAACAATATCAGCTCTCCGCCTTGGTGGGATAAAGACTGCACTGCTGCAATAAAGAATCGGAAGATAGCTGAGAAGGCTTATTCATGTGCTATGACTGTGGAAAATTACCTCCACTACAAAAAAGTTGCGGCAGAGACTGTATCACTGCTGAGGCTTAAGAAAAAGGAGGGCTGGACTAAGTTTTGTACTTCTTTGTCCCCGAGATCATCGCCTTCTCTTATTTGGAAAAATATTAGAAAATTTCGTGGATCATACTCTGATACCTATGAAAATTTTTCTTCTTATGACCCTGATGCATGGCTTGTACCCTTTAGCCGTAAAATTGCCCCCCTTTCTGCGCCCACCTTGGAGGAAGTAAGGAATCTTCCTGGCTCCTTCTTTTTCATCTAACCCATTGGAAGCTCCGTTCTCCTGGGAGGAGATCTCCTTGGCCCTTTCATGCCTTGAAGATTCTGCCCCTGGAGCTGACGGAATACCTTACTCATTCATTACTAAGAGCGGCAATGAGATGAAACTTCACTTTTTAAAAATGCAATATTTCAATCTGGCTACCCCCCCTGAGGAATGGAAGACTCAAATTATCATCCATATTCTTAAAAGTGGCAAACAAGGTTATCATATTATGTTAAACTTTATAAATTAAACAATTTATTTTTAGAGCATCACGTCTTTTATTTCACACTTATTACCATAGATTAACTCACATAGATTAAATAACTATAATATAGACACAGATTATATTCAATAATGTCACATCTTCCTTTTTTATAATAAAACAAGTTTACAAATAACACTGTAATATGAATCATAATCATAACTTACATATTAATTTGATGTACTTATATTATGTACTAGGTCTACTTTACATGAATTGTAAAGAATGATTTATTTAAGATTAAATAAAAATTAACACCCAAGTCTTTAGGACTTAATAAAATTTAAATCCTAAAGTAAACTATTTTTTATTAACAATGTTTGTATGTATGACTATAATCAGCTAAATAAGCAGGAAGTTTTATGACTCTGCCTCTGCTGGACATGTTAGGATGAATAGTATCCTCATGATTATTGTTATTTAAATTGTAATCATTATTTTCGTTGACAGGATTGTATATTTTGTTATTTATTTGCTCTTTCTTATCTTCAATATTATTGGTATTTTCATCTGGAAACTCTAAATCGAAATTGTTACTTTCATTAGATATATAATTTTTTGGGCTAGTTTTTAAATGAATTCTATTTCTATTGATTATGTTACCTGACTTTGTTAGTAAATTATATGACCTTGGTTTATTTGCATGTTCTATTATTTCTGCTTGTCTATCAAAAGTTCCTGTTTTATGGTTTTTTAATAAAACTTTATCTCCTATTTTAAATTCTTTTAAAGGTTTAACATGTTTATTGTAATGAAGTTTCTGTTTATCTTGTCTTTTTATTAATTGAGACCGTATTTGTTTATTGTTTTGGTTATTATTGTTTGTAAGATTAATTAATATGCCCCTAACTTTGTGACCCATTAGCATTTCATTTGGAGATTTTATATACTGTGATATTGGGTTGTTTCTCAATTCTAATAATGCTAAATAAGGATCTTTCTTATCATCAACACATTTTTTTTAACATTTGTTTTATAGTTTGTATATGCCTCTCCACCATGCCATTGCTTCTTGGGTAGTATGGTGAGGAAAAATTGTGTTTGAAACCCCATTTCAATGAAAATTCTTTAAACTTCTGCGAAGCAAATTGAGGACCACCATCACTCTGTATTTCTAATGGAATACCAAATTTTGAGAAACATTGCTTTAGTCCTTTTATAACTTCTTCTGCTGTTAAACTTTGTAAATTTATTACCTCTATGTATTTAGAAAAGTAATCTACAATTAATAAGTAATCGTTTGAATATAAATGAAATATGTCTACTCCTAATTTTTGCCATGCTTTGATAGGAACTTTATGTTGGATAAGAGGTTCTTTTTGATTTTCTGGGCTATATTTTATGCAAGAATTACAATTTTTCGACATTCCTATCCAAAACAATGAATCCCGAGCTCTAATTTTTGTTTTTTCTCTACCTATGTGATTATAATGTAGTTTTTGTAACATATCTTGCTGTAAAGATTTTGGCACTACTAAACAATTGTTTTTAAAAAGTAATCCATCCATTATGTGTAAATCAGTATGGAATCTATGGTATGGTTTCAGTATTTTAGGCAGGGTTTTATTTGTTATTGGCCAACCTTCTCTTATATACTTTTTTAATAGTTTTAGTTCTTCATCATTGTGGGTTTCTTTTTTAAACTCTTCATATCTTTTTAAGCTCATTTTTTCTTTTAGGTCTATTAAAAGTATACTGCAATCTAAATCATAATCATCACTAACATCTGTTTTCAAATAATTTCTTGATAAGTAATCAGCTAGAATCAAACTTTTACCCGGTTTGTAAGATAATGTAATGTCATAATGTTGTAGTCTTAATCTCATTTTCTGAAGTCTAATTGGTATCTCTGCTAATGATTTTTTCATTATTGGTATAAGAGGTTTGTGATCAGATTCTACATCGAAATTTTTACCCATTATATAAAAATGAAATTTTTCACAAGCATAAACTATGGCATA